GGGAGCTGTTAGATGACGTGTGCTTTTGTTGATGCTGCTGCTGCTCATCATGTATGTATGTATGTACTAAACTTGGTTGCGGTGGGGGCCGTGGGCATCATCGTATCCCAGATTGGCCTGGTACATGAGAGCTTCTTGGGGCCAGTCGCCGGTACTACCCTCCATTGAGTCTGCGAGAGGCGTGCGGTTGTAAGAGTCAGATCGAACAGGGTAGCTCCCATTGCTTGGGGCGCGCTGCGGCGCATCGTGGGCTGGGACATTAGTTCGGTAGGGGAGGCTTTCGGGCATAGGACCGTGGCCAACAGGCTCGGTCAGTGATCCTGCTGTAGCGGAGTTGGCAAAGTCACCAAAGTCGAAGCCAAAGTCGGGATTGCTGATGGTTGTGGGAAGTTCTTTCCGTGGCACAGCGGGAGCCCCGTTCGTTGAGGCGCTGGTCGGCCGAATTGGCTCTGCGATGTGCGGGACGGAAGGCACACCCCCTTCGGGCAGGGTGCCAGTAGGGCTGTGGATGCTTGGCTCTGGGATAGGGGGATAGGAACCCATTGTCGCTTCAGAATGCTCGACCAGAACTGGAGCCGGGGAGCGAGGCATGAGATCAACATCGGGCACGACGGTGGATCGCCGAGTGCTGTTACCCATGGTGCTTCCGGGTTTCGAGCTGCGGCTAACACGATGCTGAGGAGCTTCTGCAAATGGGTGCTCAGGGCCTTCCACGTCACGGATGCTAAACTGAGCAATGGTCCGCAGCTTCCGAGTAACCCATGACGCCAACACCTTACCACGTTGCTTCTCACCGAGACGGGACCGAGGGAAATCTCCGTGTGAAACAAATGCCACGATATCAGCAATAACCTGGTGCTCGTTGAGGATGGCATCGACAATCACGGGGACCAGAGACGCTAGATAAGCCTTTCTTGTAACCTCGACAACGACCACGATCAAGCCTCCAGCTTGGAAGACAGCACTAAATAGACGGATTAGTAACAAGCCCTTGAAAGTCGAGTAATGCCGAAACTTACCATCCGCCAGAAACGATATTGCGGTGGCATCGCTCCACAGAGTATTCGATGTCCATCGGGAAGTGGTTCAGACCATTAACTTCGAAGGTTTCACCAATTCCTCCAAGAACAAATAGCACTTGCATCTCGACAGGCTGGCCACCAGGGCCGATGGGTCTCGTAACCGTGTGAAGGAAGCCAAGATCACCAGTACGCACGTAGGCGACATTAGGATCGCCATCCACAACCCGACCGTTGAAACGCTCCATATCGAAATCCTGTTTGAAACCGTAGAACGACTTGGCGCAAGCGTCCGACTGGATCCAAATCTCACCATACTCACCGACGTGGGACAGCGTACATGTTTCGGGGTTCACGATAGCGATTTGCGTATTCACCGGAACCATACCCGAGTCTTGGATGACAAGAGCAGTGGGATCAGTGTCTGGATCCACGGGGCAGATCAGTCCACGGCGCAAAGCTCTAATGTCGAGCCACAGCTCAACAGGCTCGATGCACATGTAGGATCTGGTGACAACCATGGGGTTGAGGACGTGGGAATACACGATATTGATAGCAGTACGGTCCAAGCTGGCAGAAGCAAAGTGAAGGCGCACTTTCTGGTCTGCAATCACGTTAGCACTACGACGTCTGACGAGCGATGTAAGTAGGAGACGTACAGATATCGACTCTCGGACGGCCCTCGGCTGATATCATCAAGTTCTTCAGCTCTTGCATCTGGAAGCCCTTGCCAGCCATGGCACTCATTGCATAGTCCAGCATTTGGCTAGTAGCGTACGTGTCCTTGATCTTATAGCGTGAAAGGGTAACGAAGAGCGTCATGGGGTTCTGCGCAAAGTCGACAGGTGAGACAAGGTAGGTTGGCGCTCCTAGAGCCTGTGTTAACTCTGCAAACATCGTAGCCCACGGATTAGCTCTCCTACTTACCAACATAAATGCCCATTAGGCAGGTGTGAAGGAATCCCAGGCCCAAGGTACTCCGCACGCTACCAAGCACCGGCCTTGAGCTAGTCATCTGGCAGGTCTCTTTCTGCACCTTGCACATGCCCATAATCGTATCGTGACCGATATGAACAGAGATTCTCCTCTGATCCGGTGTCCAGTAGGTCCACACCATAGCGGCCTGGTTCGAACTCAGCCAGGTACTCTTGACCGTAAAACCAAGGTCCCGGCAGCCATGCGACTGCTTAGTAGGTTTTGTGGTGTTGTATATAGCGGGAACACCTATTCGGAGTACTTGCGCAGACTGCTTGATGTGCTGCGAGACGAGCTTCTGCCTTAGCACATGATCAACATCACTGTTGACAATGATGGCCTTGACATGAAAATCATTAATAACGTGCAGGAACGCCGGAGCATCTTCGGAGAGACGGTTCTGATCAATGGGAGCGAGGGGGATGGCAACGACACCCAAACAGAAGCACGCATGTACAGCGTAAACATATTCTTCCGAATGAGTGTACATTAGAACCAAGTGGTCTCCAGGTCGGACCTTCACCTTATTCTTCAGATACATTGCTACGGCAGCAACTTTCAGGTCAAACTTCTTCCAAGTGATGCCCTTGCCTTCCTTTCCACGACCGTCGATGGAACAATAAGCCAATTCTTCAGCTTGCCGAGAGACACGCCATTGAAGGAGGTCCACAATGGTGTTGAAGTTGTTAAGGGGCGTGGATGTGCGATCATCCATTACTACGTCACGGTAGTCAACGCCTGAATATTGCTTATCCTGCAAGGCAAGCAGTTCTTGCCTTGACATCAAGGCCAGCGGAGACCATATACCACCAACTGGGTCAACCCCAACTGGCAAGTTGAGAACGGATCGTTCAACACCGAACTTGACGTGCACGCACGGCAGAGTTCCAGAATCAAACTCCTTGCGGCACAGCATGTTACCAATCTCCTGTCTCCCATTCTTCGTAACACGAGGAAGGGTGTTAGGAGCCGTGAGTAGCACGCAATAAACCCGCAAGTGGTGCTCCTGATAGAGCACTTCCATGCATCGCTCGGCAAGAGACTCAAGAAGAACAGAGTCCAGCTGCCGTGGAGGACCGCCTGACGTCGTTGGTGCAGTTGATGCCGCATATGACTCCAACACAACAATGGGAAGGTGTTCTTCGTTGACAAAGACATCGAAAGCTGTACAATCATGGATCTTGGGAATGTTCTTCAAAATACTGACGATCATGTGTTGGACAAAGAAATAACGATGTTCGACGATTTCTTGCCCGTGTTCTACCCACTCGACCTTCTGGCGCAAGCGGTCCTCATAGAGACCTAGAACGAAAATTTTGCCCTCGATGACACAGCCAAGGAGGCCTGTACGAAGGAATTCCGGCTCTACTAGGATCGGGGTCGGATTCCCTTCTTCGAATTTGTAAGGACGTGCATGGAAGATGGCTTCTGTGTGTTTCGGCAACGCCCAAAAGCCGCCAGACAGAGAGGGAGAGTCTACCCAAATCTCGCCGATCACGTTCGAGGTGCACAGCAGGTTAGTCTCAGGGTCGACGACAGCCAGTGTGGCATCAGGAATTGGGTAGCCGAAGGAGCCAACACGCACGGCGTTGGGCATGGTCCCGGCAAACTTCCTAGCCTCTTCACCCATTGCCAAGACCACAATCTCGTTGCTCTTGAGGGCCTCTTTGTCCAGAAGGACCTCACCAAGCTCAGTCTTTCCTTGCTCTTGCGGGGCTGGCGTAGGAGCACCTCCTCCGCCCAGTAAGCTACTGCCAAAACCGCTGTTGTTATCGGCTTTTCCAGACCTTTTCTCCTCTTTCTTGCTATCTTCGCGCTCGGCTGGGTCCATCTCATGCGTCAAGGGACAGCCCATGCGCTCTTCGCCACCGAGCCAGTCTCGCATACTGATTACCATGCCGCCGTGCTCGGGAAGACACAGCATTGGCGCAACGATTTCTCTGGCCCTCGGGTTTCTCATGGGTCTTAACCACCGATCTGCGAGAATTTCATGGAACTCAGGGTCAACGGTGAGAGTATCTATAAGGCAGAGCTTCACGGTTCCGAAGTTTGGCTCTGAGTTTTTCTTGTAATGCCGTGTCGCCATCGGATCTTGCTGGTAGTTATAAGCGGCGATCTTCAGCCCCGGATAGTCTGCGGCCATGATGGTTGCCCTATACTTCGTGATCAGGTGGGCGTAGAGACCCGGCGTCTCGACTGCACGGTCCTCTAGCCAGACAGTCGTATGACCACCATATACGGTCATCAAGACCCCTATAATCATACCAATGCCTTGTCGAGGGTCGAGGTAGCTGATGATTGTTTCACCACGCGGCCTAGCCATACTCGAGGACACAGGTACAGTCGAAACAATTGCGCTGAGGCAAGCCATTTGATGCATGATTGTCCGGTGGCTCATGACGACACCGCGAAGGTCGCCGGTTGGCGCCCTGGCGAATTCAATATATGCCAGATCTGGGACCACAAGGGGTGGTGTATCGTCCTTCTTCTTTGGGTGATAGCTGCCAAATTCATTGGTCTTCCACCACTCTACTCCCCGTGGCCAGTTTAGCTTCTGAGCCGTGATGTCTCTCTGGAAACTCTTGAGGTTGTTCTCTGTCGTTAATGCCAGATGTGCTTGGGTTGAGGTAAGGACCAGATTAAGACTCTGGTAGTCCTCAAGACTGTTGATGGGAACAGCAACCACACCGGCAATGAAACAGCCCATTAGTGCGACGGCAAATTCAATAACCTCAGAGTCCCGGTAAATCAACGCCACGCGATCACCACGATAGAGGTTGCTTTTATCACGAATGACTTGTGCCACCTTTTCTGCGCGACTGGCTAATTTCTCCCATGTGATGGAAGCAATTTCTTTGCCCTTTTGATCCAATACCCAGTATGCAGGCTGTTTTCCGTGTATCCGCGCTCGATGCCGCAGAACGGCGGGAATGTTGTCGAAGTTCGACATTGGCATATTCTTGTCATGGGGATCCTGTACGGCAAATGGAATGTCACGAGGCTCCAGCGGTTGAAGGTGAGCAAGTGCCGGCCCATGAGCGAGTTCAGAAGCGGGGATCAACGGCGGTGCCATATTCGCCGTAGGGGAGAACGTATCCGACTGGGAGTAGCGGTGAAAGCCACCACCATAGCTATCCCTATAATCATCTTGCTGCTGGCCGGCAAAATCAGAGAAAAACCCCTGCTGTGAGTCGAGCATTGTCGACTGTCGCGTGACCCCACCTGGCGGCATATCATAGGCTCCGATAGGCTCCTCGTAGCCATCGTGGTGATAACCGGGGTTAAACGCATAGTTTTGGCTCAGAAGTGTGGCTGTTCGTGAGCTCTCTTGCATGGGAGGTGCAGGTTTATTCTTCGGCAGAAAAAGTGAATCGTAGGAGGCTGCCGAAGGGGCTCGGTCAGCGGGCAGCAGCATGCTCTCTCTGTCGTATGAGCCCTGTGTATCCCCACTAACCCTGCGCTCATATCCGAAGCTTCCGTTGTTGTAACTATCACGCCCGTTGGCAAAGGACTGCGAGGAGTCGCCCAGGGTTGTGGACTCCGCCGTTGGGGGTCGGACATTGAGGATGGCTTGTGGAGGATGGGTCGAGCTTGTAAAAGATGAAGATCCATCCCTGGACGTTGGTGCGCCGAAATCCAGCTTCATATTAGGGCCAAAGAACTGCGACAGGAGAACGGTGCGCCGCTTCTGGTACCTTGAATTCGAGTCAGTCCCAACCGTCGGTATATAGTTCCAGCCGCCCAGACGGGCGATCAGGTAGACCATTTGCTAGCGCTAAAGTTTCACGCTCATATCCACGGTTTGTCCGAATACAGATATAGATGAGAGTGCTTACCCCTTCTCCGTAATATCACCTTCCTGGTAAGCAGCAAAAGGTCAGTTGGATCTGTCCACAAATCCGCAAATTTCCGGGTATAATTGTAGGGTGCTAGGATCTCCTTCATACCTCCAATTCTTTATCAAGGTCGCGCAGAGCGGCGTGAAGCTCGGGATTATCGTCCGCCATGATTACAGAAGTGTTGAGGGTAGACAAATCGAGGGGCTTTCATTCGAAGGCTCGGTGATGCTGAACGGCAAGGGTTAACGGCACCCTCATTGCAGGGTCCCTTGGGAGGGGGAGAAAAGAGGGAGGGGTCCGGAAGACGCTGAGGGGGAAACGAGAGACTTCGGAGAGTCGAGCAGCCCCTTGCGATGTCCCAGTAGATGGATGGGGAATCCGGGAGTTTGTCCTGTCGCTTCTCCGCGCCTGATGAGCCACAACGTCACCTGCCGCTGCGGCTAGGGCCGGTGAGGCGGGCCGGGCACGCAGAATGTGCAGCCAATCATATGCCCAGATGAGTGTGCACCGCCACGCGTCAGGAGGAGAAGAGCAAACAATCTCGGCATCCGGAGGGCACGAGGATCGTCCGCTGCCACCACGAACAGGTGGATGTCGACAGTCTTAACCCTCCTTTCGGTACTTGGACCTGAAATGACAGGGTTGCTCCTCATCTCTACACATCATTCATCAAATCTTACCGGGGAATAGGTCACTCTACGCCCCTGTGTGCTACCTTGATTATCCCGTCTGTGCCTGATATCTGACGCCCTCGGTAGCACAAGCCAGTGTGCCTATTTTTATTCAAATTCCTCCGCAAGCCCGCTAATAACGCTCCAGCTGTCGCCGCTTTAGCGGCAACTCTGGTACAACAGCGGTTGTGGACATCGTGCTAAAAACTACTTAGCTTCTTCAAATGAAAAATTAAACTATGACGGCGCCATAAGGACACATGGGTAGATGAAGCCATCATCATGATTTCTTATATCCACTGCGCGTGCTAACCACCTTCGAACGTTCGACCGACGACGCTATCTCCATCCTCGGTATTGAAGACTCCGAAACCAAAAGAGGGTCTCCGCTGTACTATTGGCTTGTCAGTCCGTGGTGGGGTCGTCTACTACTGTTGGTCCCGGCGCCAAGGTTCTCTCAACATCAATGTAGCGCGGAAAGGAGTATGATCATCCAAGACAACGTTGTTCACTTGCCTTTTTCTTAAGGCCAAGTGATATGTCTGATCCATCTGTCAGGGGGACTTACGGCTTTTACCCAACTGAACATGTGAAAGTTCACCTCACATTGTAGCAGATCGGAGACGTGCTTATAAACGAGTATAAGGAGGCGAGTGGCTAGAAACAGTAACGGGAGCTTAGCTATGCGAATGTGCCACACTTTATGCTAATGGCAGCTCTTTAAAAGGTCTCTGTACTCGCACTTCTTGCTGCGTTCTCGAGTTTCTCGCGTGTGGGTTACGACAATGTGGAACATTATTCGGAGTGATTGCTTGTGTAAGAGGCCTGTACAGCTTGGTCATGAGATGCATTCTCTCACTATGGTGACGCCTAGGCAACAGATCAAACCCTCTTTCCACACCTACCTGACTATAGTCTTCAAAGTCATGCGAGTGAGAGTGGTGTATCTTGTGCGAAGCTAGCCTGGTATGAAGGTCAATCAGATTCTTGTAGCTTTTCCTTCCACAGAATGCTCTTGAGCTAAGTCTTCCACCTATACAAGAGTTGACCTAATATCCTTGTTGGACTAAAGTCGCTAATGGCGGATATTTGGTCGTATTTGATATTGTTCATGTTGATCGAAGCGCCAGAGGTTATTCGACCCAATGATTGTTTTCAGCAAAATCATACAAGAATTAGTCGAGAATGATGCGCTTGATACCGCTCCAGCTTCAAACTCGTAGTTAACATGTTTTGTATCTTATCCGAAAGCCATTATTTGTTGATTCGAGCTGCTAAAGGCAGGGCACGGGTTTTCAGAAGGCATACCCACAGGAAACATTATGCTCTACCTAACACCGAGTCAAGATTTGGGCAGACTACTTTGATGGATTGCTAGTATGTTCAGTCAATTTCCAGTCATTAGCTCATAAGCTCGTTTATATACAGTATATAACAGCATTTGATCCGAAATTGGTTGCCGCACTAATAGTAGATCCCTGGTTTGTAACAGGTTTAATTCGAGATTCTACGTTTTCTCGGGCTCTTGAGCTTTTACTATGAGTTATGGTATGTCACTGCACGTAGCGTTTATACGTATAGAGGAGCACGATGTTCTAAGATTACGACCAGGACATGTCTTGATATCAAGAGGCGTGACAGGCATCTTGTGTGCTTTCCTTGCTTTTCCATCACGCGCTGGGAATATAGTTCAGATGTGGCCAGCTAATATCTATCACCAAGGGATACAAAGTGACCGTATATATGGAGAACACGTGGTATACTACTCCCAAACTTATGGCACATTTGGGTTCCCCTATGGGTATATTGCCTGAATATAGAGATTAGTCCCCAAGCATTTATTGAACTCCTAGAGCCGGTTATATAAGATGTAGCGTTTTCTACAGTGGAAGTAACAACGCCTCAGAATGGGTAGCGGGAAGAGAAGTATCAATATAGCTCTTGCAAATATGGCCAGAGACGCAAACTTCTAGCTAAACAGCTGATTCAGGGTCCAAGATATCCTTCGTCAACAGGGACTATTCGAGCAGACTAGGACAGTGTAGAAAAGAATATTGACATAAAGACTTTTCGAAAGAAACTCTACTTTTTAAATGTAAAAGATTATGCTCAGTTTCAGTATGTATTCAGCAGAGCACTGACAACAATCTAGGTTTGCATCTAGAACCATGTATGATATGGCGGGTTGGAAGCGGAGCACTGAACAGTATTGACCGGACATCCAGCGCTAGTCCTAGTTCGGGATAGGGTGCCGGAATCCAGATGTGAACATCACATGACACCACCCGCGCCATTGGCGGTCAGTCCTGCCCTAACCCACCACCCGCTAAGCGAGGCGCACCTCGAATTTCCTTGCGCTCAGCGACACATTTCAGCCGCCCGACTGTATTCGTCGACGTTGAAGGATCACCAACGACACCGTCCGCCACCTACACGTATCCCTCCCTCGGCAACAGGTGCATACGTCGACCAAAATGTCTGAACACGGCGAAGTCGAGGTCGAAAACCCCGCTGCGGCCTTCCAGGTCCTGCCCAAGGAGGCTATCGCGGAGATGGGATCCGTGAAGCTGTTCAACAAGTGGAGCTACGAGGATGTTGAGATCAGGGACATCTCCTTGACGTAGGTGCTTCCCAATCCATCGCGATTTTGATTGTTCTACGAGCATGGGTTTATGTCGACCGGTGGAAAAAACGCCATTATCTGTTGGAAGACAGTGGACTCGGCATGCAGGGAGGAAAACGCACGACAATTCGGGATATCTGCGAAGGGAATCACGATGGAAAAATTTTTTGCGAAATGGCACAGAAACGAGATATGCTGACTCGGCTTCACGTTCAATAGCGACTACGTCCAGATCCGCTCCCCTGTCTACCTTCCTCACTCCGCTGGCCGTTATGCCGCCAAGCGTTTCCGCAAGGCTCAGTGCCCCATCATCGAGCGCCTGACCAACTCCCTCATGATGAACGGCCGCAACAACGGAAAGAAGCTCATGGCTGTCCGCATCGTTGCCCACGCCTTCGAGATCGTACGTCACCTATTTTCTGCCCCCATTGCCTTCCGCACGCAGAACGGCTAGGGTCTGCAAAATCCCAGAACCAGACGCAGAAAGCTGACCGGGTAATCTTTTCTAGATCCACATCATGACCGACCAGAACCCTCTCCAGGTCGCCGTTGACGCCATTGTCAACTGCGGTCCTCGCGAAGACAGCACCCGTATCGGTTCCGCTGGTACCGTCCGTCGTCAGGCCGTCGATGTGTCTCCTCTCCGCCGTGTCAACCAGGCTATTGCCCTCCTGACCATCGGTGCTCGCGAGGCCTCTTTCCGTAACATCAAGAGCATTGCTGAGTGCCTGGCTGAAGAGCTCATCAACGCCGCCAAGGGTTCCTCCAACTCCTATGCCATCAAGAAGAAGGACGAGCTCGAGCGTGTTGCCAAGTCCAACCGGTAAAGTGGGAATTTTGGGCGTATTCTCCGTTTGGTCCTGGTTTTGCGTGTACTGGAGTGGACGGGGGGTTTATTAGGATTCAGTCGATTTGCATGCATCTGCGCGACTGTACATACCTGAAAACAGTCACGGGAGGGAGCGAGATCCTAAAAATGAGAGAATCGGACGGCTTTCTTCTACAGTAGTTGAGATGCGATCATGAAGACCTCTGGCTTGTGAAGTCAATACCTTTATCTATTTTTTTACACGAAAAAGATTTCCCTGTTTCAACCATCGTTCCCCTGCCGCCTCGGAGGTGGCAATCAACTACACAAACGTAGACTCAAAAGCACCTTGAAGAGTGTGACAAGAAGCACAAAGGAAGTGTTCTAGATTCACAGTAGACTATATCTTGTAAATGCCTATAATTCTAAAGACCACAATAATCAAGTCCCCCCGTACAAAGGTACCCAAGAACTGACTGCGGCTTATCGATAGGCCAGACCCGTCGCTGCGAAAAAAAAATGTTCGGGGCTCTGTTATCGGCCCTGGCAACCGTCGCCCGCCTTTCTTTCCCTCAACCAACCACTTCAACCCCTCAGTTTTTCACCACTATAATTCGCAAAGATGGTGAAAAGAAAGTTGGGGGCCTTGGAAAAGGTCGAGGCTGATCTGTAAGTCGCCTTCCACAGTCTCTGTGTGGCTACGAACCTCCTGCCAAAGAAAAGAGGAATTTCTCCCGTCGCTAACTCACTGCTTTCCATAGGCCCAACCTGCAGCACAAGATTCGGAGAGATCCCAAGTATGTTCTACTACGAATAATGCGATCAGATTGGTCAATAATGTCAGAGTGGTTTGCTAATTGTCGCTTGCTTGTGAAGATCCTATATTGAAGACTTCCGCGCTCAGCACTACCAATATGAGAGTCACCGGGAAATTTTCATGACCGCGCCTTCGTCGACCACGGAGACGGGTCTGATCTCTCTTAGAGAATTGATTGATTTCATTGCTCATGTGGCCGACTGCTATCCCGAGATTACGAAGGATTTCCCTCAGCAACTCATGGATATTTTGACGCAGCACCATCTGATCCTCCAGCCGGAATTGCGCGAAAAGATCGTCGGTAGCTTGGTGCTTCTGAGGAAGAAGGAACTGTTGGATTCAGCGACGTATGTTTACTAATGGACTGCCACATGCACATGGGCTGGTTGCTAATGGATTTATTTCTCCAGATTGCTTCAGACTCTGTTCCCTATCCTCATTTCTACCCCCAGCAAAACCCTACGAGCTTTGATCTTCCAAAAGATCCTCATGGATCTTCGACAGGCCAATGCGAAGACTACGAACCATAAGCTTAACCGCACTATGCAGACGGTCCTGTTCAACTTGGTGACGTCGGATCGGACTTCTTCTAAGGGTCTTTGGGCTATCAAGCTTACGCGCGAGCTGTGGAAGCGCCAGATCTGGACCGATGCCAAGGCTGTAGAGGTCATGAAGGAAGCCAGTCTGGCATCGAACGAGAAAGTCATCGTTGGTGGTGTTCGCTTCTTCTTGGGCGGTGACAAAGAGCGCGAGGAAATGGAAGACGAAAGCAGCGACGAGGAAGCCATTGATTTGGGGCGAGTAAAACATCAAGTTGGCATCAACAAGAAGACCAGAAAGAAGTCCCGCGCGATTGAGAAGGCCAAGGCAACTGTAAAGAGGAGGGAGCGCAAGAAGAGCCAGCCGCATCCTCTGAACTTCTCCGCTTTGCATCTTCTCCACGACCCTCAGGGATATGCCGAGTCCCTGTTCTCGAAGCATTTGCAGAACACTAAGTCGAAGCTGAACTTGGACCACAAGCTTATGGTGCTCCAGCTGGTGACCCGCCTTGTCGGATTGCATAAACTGCATATCATGCATCTCTACTCTTACTTCCAGAAATTCCTGACTCCCCGTCAGCCATCCGTCACGTCGTTCTTGGCTTCGCTGGCGCAAGCATCGCACGATTTGGTACCCCCGGATGACCTGGAGCCCTTGGTTCAGAAGATCGCCAATGAGTTCGTCTCGGAAGCCTCAGCCTCTGAGGTCGCTTCGGCTGGTCTCAACGCTATCCGAGAGATTTGCGCACGACAGCCACTCGCCATGAATGAGACCTTGTTGCAAGATCTTGTTATGTACCGCAAGAGTAAGGATAAGGGTGTCATGATGGCGGGCCGAGGTTTGCTCAGTCTGTTCCGGGAGCTCAACCCTGAGATGCTCAAGAGACGGGACCGCGGCAAGGACGCTTCCATCGGCCTTAAGGCCGGGGAGAGGAAAGAGAAGCGCTTTGCGGAACAGGAGGCCGGTGGCATCGAGGGTCTGGAGCTCCTGGAGAAATGGAAGGAGGAGGAGCGCCGGAAGAGGAGGGCTGAGAAGGGCTTGGCTTCTGATGCTTCTGATGATGAGGAGGAAGGCGAGGAGGACAACTGGGCATCTTGGAACGTGGAAGATGATGAGGACAGTGATGACTCGGGCGATTGGATCAATGTGCAGAGCGACGCTGAAATCGACATCAGCGATTCCGAGGATGAGAAAGACGGACCTCCCGCTAAGAAGGCCAAGTCCAGTGAAAGCAGCGGAGACGATACTAAGGCCGAGAAGGCGGAAGAACAGAAGGAAGAGTCTGCTGAGGCCAAGTTCTCCAAGCTTGCAACGACTCGCATTCTCACCCCGGCTGACTTGGCTAAGCTCCAAGAGCTGCGTACCGAAGCCGCCATCAACTCACTCGTGCCGGGCGCGAAGAAACGTGATCGTGACGATCCTCTGACGGCCGAAGAAATCGAGGGCCTGGCTGCTCTCTCTGCTGGCAAGGCCACGCGCGAGGAGCGGATTGCCCATGCCAAGGAAGGCAAGACTGATCGGGCCGAGCACAAGAGTATAACGGCCAAGCGCAAGGAGCGCAAGCAGGATCAGGGCAAGAGTACGACCAACAAGGAGAAGGCTCGCAAGAAGAACTTCTTGATGACCCTGGGCAAGGCCAAGAGCAAGAACAAGCGCAGTTTGGTGCAAACTCGCGCCGTCCTCAAGGCTCATCACGATCGGGCCAAGCGGGGAGGTCGCAGAGGAAACATTGGTTAAGGTATATATGATGATACCCTGTCGTAGATCTATTGTTTCGTTCCATATTCCAGTTGCTATTGTATCATCGAGCCTCATGGTTCATCTCCATTTGGATGTCCTGAAAAGCGTGCCTTTCTGTATATAGAGCTCTTCTGCAATGATTGATCTCTTTAGACATGTTCTAGTAACTTTCTGCACTCCCCGCAACGCTATTAGGAAATACTCCGTAGTCCAGACACTGCCTACTATATCTTCTTATGTGCCTTTCGCATGAAATATGGAGTAATTCCATGTTAGTCCCAAAGAGGGTAAATTGGAAAGTGACACGTGCCTGGCGCGTCGTGGCGCGTCGCGTTCCGTGCCTCAGGTACTTTCCCTCCCCAGCCTCTTTCTTTTCTCTCTCTCTTCTTCCTCTTCTGCTATTAGAGATACTCTCCCCTCTTCCCCTCCACAGCCCTTGCATTTTCTGTTACTACATCGCACATTCCAAAATATATCTCCTGTCAAATCAGAGGCCGTCCTCCAGACCCAAGTGGTCCCTCACGAGCATACAATCAGACTAGGCCACTGCAAGTTCTCCACTCCCCGCATAGACAAAAGTCCCGCCTGTCGCTATCCAGTCCAACATGTCCCCATCCCTCCAGTCCCCCACCACCAACAGGGCCGCCGACCTGGCCTCCAAACGCAGACGCTTTCAACCACCAATCACTAGCTTCTTCTCGACTACATCTACTCCTCCCTCAGAAGACAATGCCAACGTGACCACCGACCGCTCCCACCACCTCTCCCACAACCACTACTCCGCAGCAACCTGCTCCCCCACCCCTATTGTCCCCACCAAAGTCCAAGCCTCCCTCCTCTCCGTCGGCATGCGTGTTCGCAAGTCCGTCGCAGAGGGCTACAAGACTCGCCTGGCGAAGTCCGACTCCAGTTTCTCCGAGCTGGCACCCTACAGCGGCATGCGCAGTCATTCCGCACCCATGAACCTTATCACCGACGATGAAGGCGACGCCTTCTCCCTCCCCTCCAGCAGTCAGGAATCCAACGCTGGTGGCCAGAAACGATCCTACGATATGGACTTTGATATCGACGATAGTGGTGATGAGAATGACGTTGCTGCTTCCGGCTTGGATCTTACTGCTCATAATGCTACTTTCATGGGCCGGACGATCCTTGCGCCCAAGCTGAATCAACAGCGAAGGCGATTCGTGGCACTGCGGAAACATGCCACGATCTCCGAGGGTATGGGTATGGATATCGATGATTTTGAGGAGGCTTCCTTCTTGCGTAGTCGCGAGGAGGTGGATATGGAGTACGGCTCTGTGAGTCGAAACTCAGAGATTGAAATGGGTGGTGTTTAAACGTGTGGTTACTTTCGTCTGTGATTTTCTTTCATCTTCTTTATATTGTCTTTTCTGGGGTATCTTATTAGCCGGAGTTAAGATGGGTTGGGCTGGATTTGGGTGGTTGTACTATCATCTGCTGTGGTTTTGTTTGCGCGCAACGTTCCTTGGGGATACACAGTGCCATAGGCTGGTACTATGTGCTAAAGAACGAGCATGGTGGATGGATTGATACATCATGCCTACTGTTCTCATCATTGTGTTCCTTTGCCTTGTCGGTCTTTTCTATGCATATTCTTACTTGACCCCTGCTTGTTCTACATTCCCGTTGTTTGTCGTCAAGCACCCTGTACATAATATCCGATCGCGACGACTACCTACATGTTCAACTTCCCTATGCAAGTTAGGCTTATGCAATAGCCAGCACACATGCAGCAGGCTTGAATCTGAACTGTATGAATGACAAATCAAAGAAACTTCCAAACTGAAATAAATAGTCAAGTCAATTCTATCTATAGTAGTATAGTTTACATAACACCGACCAACAATCCCCCACGGGGACTGGCTTATCACTGTGTATATGTTCATCTCATCACAACAAAAAAAAACGAAAGTAGTAACGCTCAATCCGAACTCCTAGTAAATTTTTAATTTGTTTCTTCAGGAACAGATTGCCTCAATTCCCATAAACCAGAAGAAGAACAAGGCTGCAATAGATTTAAAGCTCATCCTTGCGGTTAGCCTTCTTATCATCCTTTTGCTCTTCCTCCTTAGCAGGCTTCTTCTGCTCCTCTTGCGCCTTAGCCTTCTCCTTCTTCGACGATTTGCCGTTGTTGTTGTTGTTCTTCTTGCTCTGCTCCTTTCCGGACTTGGCTGCCGCCGCACCCATCTTATCGTAGATGCGATTCAGGACGCGCTCGAGCTCCTTGAGACGGGTGTCGAGTTCAGCGACAGGGAGGGCCGGGTCATCGGTCATGGTGAGCTGCTCCTGGAGAGCGAGCTGGGTTTCGAACCAGGTGTTGGTGGATTCGTAGGTCTTGGAGAGGCTGGTTAGGTCGTAGGGTTGGAAGATGGAGTATTTGGGACCGCTGGGCTTGGGGGTAGTGGTGGCCGAGGCGGTCTTGGTGGTGGATGAGGTGGAGGTAGTGGCGTAGGGGTCTTCGTCGAGGTCGACGGAAGAAGAGGATCCAGTAGTAGTAGATGAGGAGGTCGAGGACTCGGTTGCGGTGGAGGAGGAAGAGCTGGATGCTGTGACGCTGGAGTAGAGGTCCTCGTCTTGCTGAATCTGCTGCTCCATCACGTCAATGACGGACTTGGCGTTCTTCAGGACTTGTTGCAGGAGCTCGACGCGGGCGGGGCGCTCCGCGTTCTCCTTCTTCCTCTTGAGGGCTGGGTCGACAATCTCTCTCAGGGACTTGAGCTTCGCGCGGAAGTCGGCAGTCTTTGCGTCGTCGCCGTCACCGTACAGCCAGTCGCTGGCTTCGGAGGCTCTCTCTTGCAGCGTGGTCAGCTGCTCGGGCTTAACTACCTTGGCGAACTCCTCGTCGTCCACTAGGTCGCGGCTGCGGTAGATGAAGGATTCCAGTTCGTTGAGGGCTTCTTCGCGCAAGGCACGTTCACGGTCGGAGGCGTCGAAGGCGGCCAGGCGGCTCTTGATGCGAGCGAGCTCTGCTTCGGTGGGAGCGGGGATTCCCAGCGGAGATGAGGTAAAGCTGATTGAGATACTCTCCAGCTTGGTTGCGGGGGTGCTCTTCTTGCTCTCCTTGGCGGATGTGGTAGAGGTAGCGTCATCTGCCGAGGAAGTTGTCGCGGCTTGAGGCTCCTCGGGCTCAAGAGTGATCGACTCGCTGGGTTCGCCTTCCTCTCCGAGAGGAACTTGTTCATCCTTGTTGCCCAGGCCAAAGAATCCCTTGACGCCTTCGACAACGCTTCCCTTCTTGGCAGACTCCACCTCGCAGCTGACGGTACCGCTGGCGACTTCAGGAAGGCCGTCGACAGGGCTCAGGCGGATGGCGAACTTAGTAGTGATGTTTGCTGCCGTACAACCGAAATCCTCCTTCAGTTTAGCGACAGAGGCAGTGAGGTTCTGTGTCTTCACACCCAAGATTGGCGATTCGACGACATTCCCGTCGACAGGGATCTGGTGGTAGAAACTGAACTCAAAGTCGTCCAAGTTCTTCACAGTAACCTGCTTCTCAGGGCCGACCTGGGAAGTCGGGGTGAAAAGCTTCTGCTTTCTCTCCTTAGACTCGGAATCCCACTTAAGAACGACAGCGTAGCTCGAGGCATCGCTTGCTCGAATATCCTTAACACGGAAGCTGGGGCTCAGAGCGGCTCCCTTGAAGGCAGCGCCGAACACCGCAGCTTCATCCGCATTGACACTGGTGCGGATCTTGTTGGCAGATCCGCAAACCCGCTCGAGCTCCTTCTGCACGAACGGTGTGCGAATGGCGCCACCGTGAAGGATAACAGAGTCGATATCGCTCAGCTGCAGTCCAGCAGCCTCCAAAGCTTGCTCCAGAGGCTTTCCAACACGTGCAATATGCTGCTCCGCGAGTTCCTCGAACTTGGCGCGGGTGACACGGTACTTGAAGTTGAGGTCCTCTTCATAGAGACTCTCGAAAGAGGCGCCCGTCTCAGTGTTCGCACTGAGAACTTGACGAGCCTTCTCCGCATCCTTCCAGAGTCTCGCCATAGTCTTTCCGTGGGCCTGGACATCAGCCGGGGAAACCCGGTCCTTGAGCTTCTTTTCCTCAACCAGGCTGGCGATCATATCCTGAACAATCAGATCGTTCAGGGCATCTCCTCCAAGAGTCTTGTCCCAGCCGGTTCCCAGAACCTGGACTTCTTGGACGGTCTTGTTGAACCGCCCCACATCCTTCACTGAGCGACTTTGGAAGCGAAGGACACTGGCAGTTGTAGAACCGGCGCCCATGTCGTAGACGATGTGGTACTCGGGCCTCTGGCCATCCGAAACACTGGGGAACGTGCGGCTGGTTGCGTAGTTCAAGCCGACAGCGAGGTTATCGCTGATGAACGCATCGACATTCAAACCTGCCAGTTCCGCGGCCAATTCCAGACTCCTCTTCTCCGCCGCGGTGTAGAACGACGGATAAGTGATCACGGCGTCCGTGATGTCCGATCCCTTTCCAGCCAGAGTGTCAGCATTGGCCTTGATCTGCTTCAGCTGCATGGCCAGGATTTCCTCAATGAGGAAGGCGTCCTTCCTTTCAGCTTCTCCCAGTCTGTTGCTTCGCAGGCCAACCGTGCCACGATCCCCGGGAGCTTCTTCCAGACGCAAGGCGGGATAGCGGCTGTGGAAACTTTTGATCAACTCATTGTCCGCATCGAAAGGAAGTCCGAGCAGAGTCTTGAGGTTCGAATAGACGTCATCGGGATACCGTGCCGCTAGCGCCAAGGCGTCGCCACCGTAGAATCTCTCCGGGAACGAGGCATCGGCCTCGCGGGTAGGCTTGAACGCTACAGCGGCGGACTCCTTGCGCTTCGAATCTTTGGTGAGGACAATCTCAAGCGGAATACCGGGTTTGACGAGCGTAGCCTTCAGATACTCTGTGCCGACATCGATACCAAGAACTGCGGAGCCCGCAGCCGCGGCTGGGGCAGGAAAGCTGAGGACGAAAAGGAGAAATGGTAGAATTAGGGAGAGTACGGGGAGGGAGGTGAGCGAGGCATAGGGCCGTCGCTGGCTGCCGGGAGCCATGGTCTGTGTATTTCTAATGCTGCGAGAGTCAGTAAATCCTTCCGTCGTGAACGTCGTCCTCCACACATTGTCGCATACCTTTTGCTGGGTACAAAAGATTTAATAATTCCCCATCCGGTATAAAGGTTGACCCTTCTTTTTTGTCGGTTATATTCTGAAAGGGTGATTGGTGAGAATAGCTATTGGTACATCGATTAGGATTATTTCAGGGTCTGGAGATGGGCTGAATAGTAAAAGTAGCTGTCGTTGAACTATGAGCCGGTTAGCTGGCTGGAGGGAAGCACATGGTGGAAGGAATAGACCACGTACGCAAGATTTAGAACGAAAGAGCCATCTAGGCCACAATCACAGTTGGAATTACTGGCCACCTGGCAGTAAGCGAGAGTAGGACCAAGAAATGAGATCGCGATGAATGAAAGACGCGATGATTGCACAGAGGCCACGTTTGGCCGACCGGCTCCCTGTTTGTTCTGTTTGCCCCCGCCGATCGGCGCCCCGATCGTCGCGCTTAAAAGGATTCCGGTGCTTCAGGGTCCAACTAAGATATCTCCATCTGCAGGGGATGGGCAATGATGCTACAATTACGATGCAAGTGTGAGGTACATTATTTTTATAAGGCTAGTCATCATCAAAATCAGAATCGCTCATCCATCCTGTCTCGTATGTCTCACGGATCTCGCCCAGCCCATTCACCAAAGTTTCCCGCTCATCCACTCCAGCCACGCGCCCAGCCAATGTCTCATAGACTTTCAGTCTCTCCGCCGTTCGCGAAGAGACAGTCAACGCTGCAAGGATATTGATTTTCTCCTTCGATTTGAGTTCTGGGAACATATTCTGGGGGAAGCTGTCCAGAATCGGGAAAGGTAGGGTCGTATGGAACCTATATGTAGTGTTAACGATGTGACTACATAGAACGAGTTAAGCGGGTTTATCTGACCTCTGGAACATTGGTTCTGAATTAAAATGTCGTTTTCTGCGGAGGATACCCTGATCCTCTCCGCCCGACTCACCTCCCCCATCGGCAAGTCCCCGTGAAACTTGGAGCTGGTTGAAGACATGGTGGGAATTTTTGCAAGCCAGCCCGTCGTAGGTGAAGTCCAGGTCGAATTCCGTTTTGATCGGTGAGCTTCCGGGTCCCTTTTCATCGCTATCATCTGATGGTTTGGTATGCGACTTTGCGGCATCTTCACCATCCTGCACCATTGTACTTTGCAGCTCGAATATCTTATGGGTGCCATCATCACCGGCCAGGGACGCCTCAAAGTCGTGATATGGACGCAGTCGTGTCGGGAGCGACACGCTTTCCATGGCGGCGCTAACCAGGGCCGAGGTGTACCATTCCGACCGAGCATCGAGATATATAGATTGAGGGATTCTACTTGGAGGATCGATAATGGGCGCATACAGCGACGCCTGTGTGGAGATGGCGTGTACAGACCGAGCTTTGTTCAAGTCCCTCTTGAACTGAGTTTGCTGTCATCGATCCAGGGTAAGCTTCACATAGACCTAGAACATTGCGTAGAAATACTCACCCGATCGACCTTCTTTCCGTTCTCGATGGCCCAAACCCAGACGGACTTCTTGCCATATTCGTCCCTAATCCTATCAATGTACTTTGCAGCAAAGCCGCCCCATGCGTCGTCAGAACCGGTGAATACTTGCAGTGCCCGCAGCTGATCGCATTCTTCTGCGAATGGTCTGACGTCACGATCGAGCAAGTCATGCTCTTTGTCGAGCTCATTAAACAGTTCTTCGCCAATGGTCCAATCCTCGAAAGGCATAATCTTGGAATTCAGCTCATAGTCATTGAGCTGTACAATAGAGCGAGGGTGATAGAAGAGTCTGTTATAGTCCGACCAATACCTGACTGTTTCTGCAGAGAGCGTTGGAGCAGGTAGCCCTGCATCGAGGCTCTTCTGATAGTCACTCTGGGGAATAGGCGCTTGCTGTTGTAGAACCTCCCTTCCATCCCTACATTTTTACCGTTAACCTTGTATCACTGGCCGTCTTGGGTTGCCCCAAGGAGGGAGGGTAGGTGAAAAGGTGAGAACCTACCATAAGCCCTGGCCAGGAGTGGCATCTTCAGTCAACTCGTACAAAGCGTTGTACTTGCGGAGTGTGCCAAAGCCGCCTTTGAGATCATATATGACAGTCCTAGGGGTGTATGTTTCCGACCCATCGGCGCCGACGCCTGGGCGAAAATGGACATCATGGTCTACCGGAGATTCCTCTTCCTCGTTGTAGGTGAAGTAAGATTCCTGCCAGAAATGTCAGCTATGGGATGCAAATTGGATGAGCAAGGCAGCCTGGAATTTGAAGCTCTAACCTGGAGGTTCCAAAAATGTGTGGCCAGGTAATTGGCTCTCTGACCGAGCTGTAAGGTGATGATTTCATGCATGGTTGGTGTTGACAATTACTATGTCCCACATCGGCGTTGCACTCAAAAAATATATGCAGCTGTCGCAGATGGTACCCTACAGGTGCTGCACATGCAGGGGATGTCAAAACCACAAAGCCTCCCGGAAGCAGTGACAAACTATTTTGAAACTAACCCAGCGTAATTCAGGACCTCCAAACTGGCTGCAAGTCTAGAACACAACACCCACAGTTTCACAATCGTGGGCAACTGATGGCATCACAAGCAGTGGACGCACGGACCATCCTATGTGCTGATTTCCTAACCGGGACTAGTGGCAGAGTCTGTAACACGTGAACCCCGCCTTCCCAATACGGCTAAACATTGTTGTCCCGGGCAACAGTCACGAGACTGCAGCGCGAGCAACAAACAAGCGTGGAATCGGCGGGATCGGTTGATTGTTGTGGGTGCGTCACCGATTAGGGGATCATCAACCGAGCACTACTCTCCTCTCACCTCCACTCCAGGTGGATTTTCCACGGGGCTTCCTTCGGCACCTACTAGTTTCACAACCCCTCGAGACACGACTGTCATGTTTGAGTCTTGAGTGAACGCATCATTTCTTACACTAACCACCCACAGCAACAGCACATACTGCCGCGATGGAGAATCCATCGAGCGCGACGTCGAGCCCGACAAAGGCCCTCAACCCCATGTCACCAGACCGGATGAATCAGCAGATTGGACTTGGCTCACCCTCAATGTCATCGGATATTTTCAACATTCAGCGGAAGACTCCCCGGGGACTCACCGATGTACAGGCCAAGGTCGCGTATCTGAACAACCTGTCGCGAGGAAACAGCCCCGCGCAAGCTTCACAGCCTTCGGCAGCATCTACGGCAGCTCTTCAGCGGGCTATTCTTGGACGCGAGGAGGCCGAGTCTGCATTGGCGAATGTCTCTGCTCAGCTTTCTGAAGCCCAATTGCGGGAGCGTCGGATAAGTGAAAGACTGGAGTCCCTGCTGGAAGAACTGCAAACAACAAAAGAGCGCCAGGCACACGAGCGATCAATCTTCGAAAAAGAAATTAGGAAAGCGAGGAAAGAAGCTTTCCGAGCTGGCTCCGTTTTGGTGAAAACACAGGAGGAGCTGAAACACGCAAGAAACGAAGCCAAAGGACACAAAGACGAGGCCCAGGCAGAGCGAGCAGCAAAAGAACAAGCGAAACAGGAAGCATTCGAACGCGCTTATGCCATTGCTGGTCTTACAGAGGAGATGGAGGTCCTTAAAGAACAGCTACGGGCCGCCGAGGCCAACAACCACTCGCAGAAGCTCGAAGCGCAAGCGCAGCAGAAGAAGAACGATATTAAACGAATGTCGCTGACCGAAGGCGATCTCAATCTCCTCTTGACACCTACCCCTCGGAGACCCAAACGTTCTGCCGAGGATGTAGCCAACCCGACTCAAGCCAATGTCGCGGAATCTTCACCCGTCAAGGATACCCCTCCTAAGAGGCAAAGGATGTCTGATGTAACTCCTCGAAAGGAGGCCCCGGAGATCACAACATTCGATGTACACGAGGAACAAATTGCTGAGCTGGAGGAGACACTCAGGCGCGAGCGTCAACTCAGAGCCGACGCTGAGGGAATGCTCGAATTCTTGCGACTGGAGTGTCATTTCAAACGTTGCACTTGCCGCCTGGCAGAGCAAAAAAGCATACCTCACACCCATGAGCTGCAAAGCGTGGATACGACAAAGAAGGATAAGATGGAACTCCCAGAATATCGCGACAATGATCAAAACGCCCTTGCTGCACCAGAGGAGCCAAGCCCTTCTCATACTCCTAAAGGCGAGCCCGTTAGGTATCCGACAAGTGTCAAGGAACAAGTTCTGACGGAGGATCCTGCCGGAGAAGAAGAAGCCGAGCGTGAGGCGGCCGCAGATGATGTTGATGAAGATGTCGATGAAATCGTTGAAGAAATTGAGGAGCTCCAGGAAGTTGATGACGACGACGATGAGCCTCCGGAGGAACCTTTGATAACATTCTCACCTGCCACTGGGACCTTTCACACCTTCCCTTCTCCTGTGCGAGGATCTCCCCGAAAGCCCAACGAGGCTAGTGCGAATGATCATCAGTCACCAGCGTCCTATGTTGGACATGGAATAGATGCCCGTGTGATGTCTGGTAGCCCTGCCCCAAAGTATGGGTCTCTTCAGCATCAGGCTCCGTTTGACTCAATAACGGAGAATGAAGCTACTCCAAAAAGCCACCCCTTGCCAGCGGTTGTTGATGTGCCATGGGATCCCGTGATGCCCATTGGACATGAAGCCGGCACCCCTGAGAGGCACAATGACCCAACGAAAGTCCCTTTGCGCGATGATGGGGGATCAAATCGCTTTTCCGACGTTCCTGGTACCCCCATCAGCCGGGAAGAAGCACTGGCTCAAATTAGAGCGCGGAGAGAGAGAGCAAACACCATGAAGAGGTCTGTCAGTGCCAGTGAAAGTGGACTTCGCTCGGGAGGCATGGGAGTCACTCCTGTCCGGAGCGCCCGACGATACCCTGGGGTCCAGAATCCAGATGCAAGCGACGGTTCCATCAGAAGTCGGAGGGATATGAGCGCTCCTATCCAAATGTCCCACTACTGAAACGGCCGTCTCATCACTTACTGGCTAGACTCAACAGCCAGGATCAGTGCGCTTGACTCAACGATTCAAATTATCTCTCATTCATAATCTTGGTTAACGACTCAACTCTCTCTTGATACCCTGGTCCTCCTAGCGAAATGGCGTTTTTGTCTTTTTGGATGTTGCTTTGAAAGGCATAAATGCTGCTCTCTTGTACTCCTTTCTTGTTATGTCAGTTTCAAAAAGCTACGACTATTACTTGTTTCCCTCTTGCATGTTCCAAGAGGATAATTTTTTCCCACTCGAATGCTTTGCTTTTTTTGTCCATTCTATTAACTATCCCAACTACACGGCAAATGAGCATTGCTTATCAGCCTTGACCTTCTCTTTTAGATTTTTCTTTACTCTCCTTTGTCTAGTGATTTTGGATTTTTCTTTTTCCTGCTTGAAAATCCCACTCTTCTTTTGTATATAGGTTGATTTGTACGATGCGTGGCTGGTGGAATTCAAGATACTGTTGGGATGAAGACTAGAACCTTATGATATTGACATGACATTTTCAATACGATCTCGCATTTCCAATAATGGTATTTCAAATAGCACTATGTGGCCTAGCATGAGCACTCCTACAGATTGATTAGAATCTATAAATGCTTATACCTTACCGTATATACTTTCAAGCGTACACATAGTGCCAGACAAGACGATGTGTAAATAGAGAAGGAAGAAAAGAAGGAGAAATAAAAAGCGCCGCACTATTGCAGCCCAACCAGCACATACACCATTTATATGATGGAGATGCCGCAACATCTGATCCTCGCACTATCCACACGTGCCTTCCGACCCCACCATAGCTGAACCAATTCCTCGACAAACACACGGTCAGCAGTGCTCCAGATATCCAAGCCCATCTCAGTCAGGTCTTCAGAAGTGATCTTCACTGGGTCGCTATCATCGTAGGAGGTTCTGGCGTCGCGCCCGGTCCCGGTCGCTGTCTGTTGCTGCTGTAGCAATGGAGACCTGGAATCGTCTTCTTGGGTGGGTTGTCGGCCAATGGCGAGGGAAGGTCCGGGGCCCTCGTCGTCTTCTGGATCATCTTCGTAAGGCATGGTGTCCTCTTCGGGAATTTCTTCGTCATCTTCATCATCGTCCTCAAGGGAATTGCGGCTATCGTGCCGGGCAACTACATCGGATAAAGTGATGAAGATCTGAGCTGTGAGGCGACGGAAGTACGCGACTAGGGCGATTTCAGGCGGTTGGGTTGATTCCTGCGGTTGAATACTCCGACGGCCGAGAGAACCAGAGGGTGGACTGGGAAGGGTTTCTACACTGGCTAGCAGGCGTGTGTCCTGTTCCATTTGGTGCTCTTCTTCTTCTTCCTCGGAGAGACCGTCCCGCTTCTCACCGGCTGATGCCCACCATATGAAGGAGGTGTAGGCTAGGCGTGTCCATGAGAGGGGTTCAACAATGGGGCTGGAGGAGTATGTCGAGGCTGCGTCTGAGTCGTCGTCCGCCTCAGTGGCTGCTGCTTCGTCTTCTTGGGTAACGTGCCGAAGACCCTTGCGAAGGGTAGCATAACGTCGCGCGTCACGCTGGGTTGCTTTGACTTCGATGGATTGGGGCGTCTTGCCCTTTGGCGGTTGCGTATGAAAGATGGAAATTGTCGGGAATACCTTCTCCGCGGCGTTTTTGGAGTGAGCAGGAGGCAAGGTGACGAGGACATCGAAGAGTTCAGGCTTCATGGTCAAAACACTGTCTGTGCTGCATGCAATCCAGGCTGCGTCATGTTCTGCATTAACCAAAGTGCCCACAAAAGACGAGAGATGAGGGATATCATGGATGCCGACATTGAACAATGGGCGAGGTCGCGGAGAGGGTAAACCGTTCTGCGGTAGCAATGGAAGGAGCGAATTAGGTAAGGAGGCCAATAAAGAAAGATCGTACACTAGCTGACTGTAAGTATTGGTAGAAAGAGATTGGATAGTGATCATACCGTAGCTACAGGGCTCATGAACTGGCGCTTCAGCCATGAAAAGGATCCTTTTGCGCAGCAATGCTGCTCTGTACAGAGGAAATAGAAGAGGACCGAAGGAATCTAAGAAATTAGGGAGCGAGGAAGCTGGGTGGAAGGGCGTCAGGGCCGGCCTGGGCGTTTCCAATACAATCGCATCACTAAAAGCGCGAGTTCGATGAACGGCATCTCTTAGATCGCCATGGGCCCGCAGCCGGAGACTGAGAGGAGACTCCATGGGGGAATCGGGTGGCATGGCGGAGGCATCAGTTTCACGGATTTCATAGTTGTCCCAGTACTCCGTTAAAGGTTGCGTATTAGACATGTCCTCAGCATAGTTCCTGGAAGCGATAGAGAAAGCGTTAACGGCCAGATCAGAAGGACAGCGCATAACCGGTTTCAACTTACGCCGCCAATTCTTTGAGCTTGGGCGCATGTCTCCAGCTCTTCCCCAATCTTCCGGAGCTTAATGGGACTAGAACCCCGATAGCAAACATCTTTGCATTTCGCTCCGCTTCCTCGGCGGGCCAATTGACAAATGCGCTGATGCCAGCGTATTGCTCGTGGACGAAGTATCTGGCAAGACCGAGCTATTAGCGAGCATAGATGACATGACAAGGCCGTAGTAAACATACACCAGATCTTCTGAGACATTGTGCAGGCCAGATGGAAGCGACTTGTATTCCACAGCTCCTTCGACTTCAACTGTGTGACCGGCAGGGTTAGGCGACGCTATCACGGAGAGGACCGTTGAAGCAGCAGTGTGCTACTTACCCCCGGGAACAGTACGCTTCCACGATATCACGTATCTGCATTCCGGAAGAGCCGTCAGTAATCAGGACCATTTGGATTGGTTGCCGTTAAGACAGGCTTGGAATTCCTCACCCGGCCTTGATATCGAAGCGAATGACGAAGAGGGCCGCAATGCCAGGCGGCGACTCGACGACCGTAGCGGGGCGGGGCACGTCAAGCCCCAGGGGCTTGCGTCTAAAAGGACCAGGTGCCATTGCCGGAGAGCGCGTAATCAGCGAAGGTGACCGTCCCCATGGAATGAGCGAGAGGAGCAGAATCACGGAGATGGCGACATCGGACGATACAAGCTGGCGTCGGTCGAACAGCGGCGGACCTTTGGGGGGTGAGTTGCGGAGAAGCTGTCGTTGCCTGAGGACAGAAATCCCGCTAGCTCCATCGGGTTAGTCCCGTGCGGATCAGCTGAATGAGTTGCAAATGCTATTCAACAGCTACTTCTTCATAATGATAACCAGTTGTTCTCGGAAGAATAAGCAAGAGGAGACGCTTTGAAGTGAATTCCAGGCAGTGATACTCAATTGAGATTATTGACGCCCAAGTCTAATCGCTTGTATAGGTGTCTGGCTATCGAGTCTCCTTACCGATTTGGGAAAAACCAACTGAACATCCCACTATACTTTACTCCGATCGACTACTGGAGCAATACATAAGTGAGAGACCTCTTCCTGTTAGAGCCTTCGTCAAATTCCAACCATCGATCGCTCAATCAGAGAACTCAACACAATGACTATTATGGACTCCAAAGCTCCACTCCATCCCTACTACCCCCTCAATGCTCAAATCTACGATTATGCTCCCAATGAGGCTTCCTTGTTCAGTATCCTCACTACTGCTAGCGTTGGCGCGGCAGCTTTGCTGGGAATCATTTTCACCCTGAGCGGTAGACTCCGACCAGCGCTAACAAAAGCCGACCGTCTTGCTATTCTGTGGTTTGCCCTCTGTAAGTTGGACTCTATAGTTACGTACTCTTGCGACAGCGAGACAACAATTCTCGATGCTAATTGCGGTGTGAACTCCAAGCGGGTACGATTCACTGCTTCTTCGAGGGTTATTTTATGATCAACCATGCTCGTATGGCATCTGCGCAAGACTTCTTCGGTCAACTATGGAAGGAATATGCCCTGTCGGATTCGCGATACATGACCTCAGATACCCTCGTCTTGTGTATGGAGACTATCACGGTCGTAGGTGCACCCGTGGCTGCAGGGACCCCTGCTCATTGTCCTCCTTAGCTCCGCCTGCGACACTGTTGCTAAACTACTGGAATAGCTTCTTTGGGGCCCGCTCTGTTTTCTGGTTGCATACTTGACCCTTTCTCAGCATCCTCTGCGCCATCCGCTGCAGATCATCGTGTGCATGAGCCACCTCTATGGCGATGCTCTGTACTATGCGACCAGCTTGTTCGATCACTACGTTCATGACCGACCGTACTGCCGCCCGGAGCCTTACTACTTTTGGGTGTACTATTTCCTGATGAATTTCATCTGGATTGTGGTTCCGTTCTGTACGTTCCAGTCACCCACGGATCCCTTGCTTGATTTTCACTCGTCTTGGGCTGATGATGGAACATAGACTATCTTTACCAGAGTATCCGGACAATAACGGAGGCCCTCAGAGTCTTGGAAAATCCTTCCAGACAGCGCAAGGACCGATAAGAGAGATGTACAGTGAGAATTATGTCACTCCTGTTATAAACGGAACAGCATCTAGATGAGGGGTAGTGCTGGCTAACGCAGACCAAGGGCCTTGACCTTACCCTGACCATGCATGCGTATAATCTCAGAGGGCATTCCCGCATGAGATGATCTTCGCTTCGGCCGGGACTGCCCTCTCTTGTCGAGCCTCCAATCAACGGCGCCCGAGTGGGAAAAAGCAATCAGCATAGCCCGGTGCTCCAGTGCATGACAACGCACTCGAATTATCAATGAATCAGGTAGAATAATTTTCCCTTTTTAGCCCACTCTGTGACGCGTAGCCCCGGGTGGATCGGTTTAGGCATTCCTGCTCTTCCGGCAATCAGAAAGTATAGCTCCGAGATACACGTTAGTTACAGTGGAATGATCGTCTTACGGCTGGCTATTGCTCCGCGGTGCAATATGACTGCTCTATTATCGGACCCCAAAAAAGGAGAGAAAGGAAAGGATCTTTCAAACGACCACGACATCGGGCGGCCAGGGTGGTGACATGGTGCGAGGCATAGGGATGCAAGAGGCCGCAAAGTCATGTGGGGATGAGGGCACATGTGCATCTCATCAGCCAGCAGCTATGACCATGACCGTGCATGGTAAGCTGGGTAAAGAAAAAAAAACAAAACAAAAGCCAAAGGGAAGGGATGAATAGATAAATAGAGAGGGGGCATGTCCCTAGAGGTCTGGAATCTTGGATTGGACGTACCTGAACCATTCGATTCCACTCGAGAGAAAGGGAGGGTCGAACCACCGGTCGCGGAATGAATAATTGAGCTCTGAACGGTCGAGCCCAAGAGCAGCAGCAAATCATCATTTCTGGCGGAATGCGGTTGGCTGGTGCAAACTAAACTTGGGCGCCAGATCTTGACGAACGGGGCATTCTGGCCATGGAATTGGTTGGGCCCAGCGAGTGGCGCAGAGTTCAAGCTGGTTTCCCGGGCAGCCTTTGGCCAAACCCAGAGGGACGAAGTGTGTCCGTCTGTCCGTCCCGCAGTTCCAGCGAAGTATAGACCACAAGAACCAGACAGAGCTGGATCACACGGGTGTGTTGTGTTGTTATTGTTGTGCATCCAGGCTGGCCTTGTGGATTATTCTTGAAGAGCCTCTTCACACATTCAGAGAGGAATGAGGGCCTCTGGAGACATCGATTAGCAACTGATTGTCCCCGCGCCAGCTACTACTAGACACACTCTCTAACCACCGCTGTGTGTACTAACTAGTGAGCTGCGCTGCCTACGTCCGGGTCTCCATTCTGCACTTGACCGCCTATTCTCGCTCAATTCCTTGCTTGTTCTCCAGTTTCAATTTGCATATTCTGTCTTGAACTCGTATTTTGCATTTGTGCTGTCCCAATTAACTGCTCTCCCCTCCCAGCAGAACCGCTACCTTGTGGTTGTCAACCAGGGTATGTGCTGTCGGTGTCTTGACCTCGAGTGAGCTTCCCCTCCCATAAACAAACAACTGGTGACGTCGGTGGGTGGATTTCCCTATCTTTCTTTGTTCGCACTGCCCAATTAAACAAAATGTCAGCTCTGCGATCGCATTTTACTGCAGATTTCGTCTGACATCTCGATCAATCTTCGCGACCTCAATTTCACTGCTAATGCCTGGCTCCGGTCGCAGATTTCCATGCCGACTCCTGCCAACCCGCCGCGCCCCTCCAACCGTGGGGGAGGCACCAGAACATCCCCGACCAAGAAACCGCTCGACATTGGGGTGCCCCTAGGCATTTACGATACAAATTCCGTGCGAGCAAAGGTTCGCAAGTGGCAGCAGCAGGGAGGTGGGGTAATCACGGCCAATGATGGGGTTTGCTACGACGACGACGAGGAGAATTCAACAGCCGATTCCAATTCTAAAGTGGCCGACGATAAGGGATCCGGTAGCTCCAATGGCTCCGGAACGAGGACACGCAGCAAAAGCACACCTCGCAAACGCGTCATTAGTGATGAACACTGGAAGCTGAATCGAACTCCCACCCAAACGCCTTCCTCAAGGCTCCCTCCGCCGAAACGCATTGCCGAGTATACCACAAATGACCGTCTACGTTCTCCGCAAGCTGGTGGAGCCGAAGATGCGCGGGAGGATACGATATTACCCTCTCCCTCCCGCAGCAAGGAAAGAGGCAGGGCTGCTATAGCATCCGACCTGGCAACGAGAGAACGGAGAAAGTCGAGGGCATCTCGAGATGTCGATACAATACCCGAGGACAAGGCCGAGGAGGAGAGTGCGTCACACAATGGATCTTCCAAGTCTACTTCGCGACCTGCAACCGCCGACAAAACCCATGTACGCGCACGGTCGGAGCTGTCGCAGAGTGCAAAGATAAAGGACGGAGGATTGGACGAGGACTCCGAGTGGGCGGCAAGCGAGGCTGATTTCTCAGAGCTCTCTAGGCGACGTGCGCGAGGTCCAAATCCAGCATCCCGGGGTCCTCCACCTAGAGGCCGGGGAACAGTGAAGCCCCCCAAAGGCGGCATCTTCTCCCATATGCTTGATGAGTCCAAGAAGATGTTCGCTAAACCGGAACCCCCCAAACCCGGTCGAGGCGCTAAAATAGAGGCATGGCTTTCTGAAACACCTGACCCGTTCATCGAGGACGTGGAGCCCGATGTCGAAATACCCGCGCCATTAAACACCAGAACCGGCAAGAAGAAGGAACCAGCGAAACAAGAGGAGGTGCCCAAGGTCAAGAGCGATGCTGAGTCTCCTTTTGCGAGCGACACATCGAAGAAGCATGCGCCGCCAGCGCAGAGGAAAGAAGGCCCAACTAAAAGCGAACAATCTAAGACAGCAGAGGAGAAATCAGAGCCCAAGAAGGACAACGCTACTTCGGATAAGAACAAGGCACCTACAGAACGCGAGGAGAAACCGCGGTTATCAGGCGCCGATAAGCTATCTGTTGGCAAGCGAGACCGTGGCAACAAGGACAATGCATCGGAGACTGACTCCCAGCAGTTGTCAGAGGGATCCGAAGTGTCTGCGAATAATGCACCGGTGCCGCTTGGTCGTCGAAAGCCATTTCCCACGACAGGGGCCCATCCCCTCTCGACAATCGCGTCCGTTGAGTCAATGAGCACGACTAAGGAGACTACAGGACTGAAGCAAGATGCCGCATCGGAAAAACAAGAGGCAGAATCCACTCAGGCAAAGCTGGTCGAAGAGGAGAAAAGAGACCAGTTTGACCCCAACTCACTTCCTGGGATTTCCTCCCAGTTGAAGAGGCGCCTTACTACTCATGATGATTTGATATCGGTCCTGTCTGCTCCAAGTGGCCGGAGTAGAAGCCTTCGCTCTGCCAGGAGTCTAAAAACGAAGAGTCGGATTACCACAGAGAACATTCCTGACCTTCTTAAGGAGTTGGCTGCTGACGAGGTTAAATATATGCGTGAGCTTAAAACACTGGTCGGTGGTGTCATCCCAGTCCTCTTGACATGTGTGCTATCTAAATCCGATTCTGCTATTGCGGCTGGACTCTTTCGACCTTCTGCGGACCCCAAGGATGAGGTGAATTTCAGCAAGCCCATAGTGGACATGGGAGTTGCTATTGAGCGACTGAAAACACTGCACAAGCGGATTCCGCAGGATGATGTGGAAGCTCTGCTCACCTGGGCGAACGGGGCGCAGAGAGTGTATCGCGAATACCTCAAGGCCTGGAGACTGGGGTTCAAAGACGTGATTGTCAACCTCGCGCCTCTTGAAGAGGGCGAGGCAGGCGACAATACCGATACAAAGAGTCTGGATGAGGGCATGGCAAGGGATGAGAACGGCGATGTGGTGGATAGTGAAGGTGAGAAGGTTGACGTGGCATACCTTCTGAAGCGGCCTCTCGTACGCCTGAAGTACCTCGCAAAGACCTTCAAGGGAATCAAGACCATTCAGCCATCTGCCAAGGCCGAGGATGTTGCTGCGGTATATCAGAGCCTTGTGACAGACGCCCGCCGCCGGGCCCGCGAAGAGAGAGCAAGGCTTGAGGATGAATCTGCTGCCAACGTTGACGCTACGCGTGCAAGGGATCCTGCGACCTTGGGAGCACTCCCTGGAGTCACTGTCGATAGAAGCCGAAGAGTCCGGGCCCGTGATTTCTTTAATCTTTCGTTGTACCACACAAGTGGCCAGATCATTGACTGTCGTGCAGAGCTCCTCTTGAGAGACGGTGCCGCCGGAAATAAGGCAGGCGGAGATCTACTAATCTGCGAGATTGACCATACGGATCGTTGGTTGCTATTTCCCCCTATTGAGGTTGGCCGTGTCTCTGCTCGCAACGGCGACGTAAAGGGCGAGATCGTGGTCATGTTACGGAGTGGCCCGAACCATACCAAACCCTGGCAAGAACTTCTGGTGCTTCAAATCGATGAAGAGGACATTGGATTCGAATGGGTTCAGATGCTGGGCTCGAATCCTCTCCCACCGGCTATCTGTAGAACCCAAAGCTTCATTGATAGGACCAAGCGGCAACGGGCAAAGACTATATCTTCAGCCAACGAGGCCTCTCAGGCACAAAAAGCGCCACCAAGTCCTTCAAATGTCAATGTCCCTATCGGCGAGAAGCCTACTTCTCGTACCTTGCGCCGATCCTTGACCCCTAAGGATCATCTTTCGGATCCCAGTACCCTGAGCTCTTGGATCAGCGAGTCCCGTACTTCACTGCAAAGTGCAGTAACTCCAGAGTCGGACTATGCTATTGGTGATGAGCTATCGATCAAGTCCCCGCCTCCGCAATCTATATTGCATGCCAGGGAACCCCGCAAAAGCTTCACGGCTGATGACAGACCTTCCCCTGGCCTCAAACGGTCAAAGGCCAAGAGAGTCACCAGAAATGGAGAAATCATTCCTTCTAGCCCTACCACACCAACAGACCCAAGCTTGGACCGAGGAACCCCTCCAGCCCACGAAGAAGCCAGACGCCCAGAAGAAAAGAAACCCAAGCAGCAGCAGACCCCGAAGACTCCTACGAAGAGTACCCCTGAGAAGAGTTCTCCCCGAGTGTCTTCCGTGCCGTCGATGGACCTCCCTCTTATTCCAAAACTCAGAAAGGGCAGCAGTCAGACATATATCTCGGACTCTTTGGCGTCCACATCCGATGACGAATTTCCTCCTGTGGAATATGATAACATCCCTGAAACTCCTAGCAAGAACAAGAACCATTCTCGCCAGCACTCGGGATCGGACCAGGCTGACGAAGATGAGTCCCCACCACCTCCGCCGACTCATTCTCGATCACCGAGTTCCATTGGCTCCAGCCTTCCAAATACCCCTATGCTTAGCCCTAGTGGTGTGCGGACTAGGCGCCGTGGCTCCTCGCCCCTAAAGCATGAATATGAACCATCTACTGCTTCTGATTCGTACTCGGATTCTGATACATCGACTGTGCGTCGGTACGAAGTGCATTCAGGCTCCGAGTATTCGGACACAGATAGTTCGGACGAGTCTGGAGATGAGCACGCATCACTGCCGCCATTCGAAGCTCCTACCAAGCCAAAGGCACCAGCCCCAGAAGCCACGTCTGCTAGTAGCTCTCTGTCATTGTCTAATTCGGCCCCTCAGGGTGGATATAGATCTGTTCCCTCGCAACCGAGCAAGTCGTCCACTGTGATTGCATCGGTATTCGCTTGGTCAGACAAGGGCTCATGGGATAGCATCTTCCCCGATGACTGCAAGGTTATAGTCAGTCCTGGTCTCATCGAAGCATATGATGTGGGAAATGCACCAGCCGGGATGGAGGAAGATGACAGCGACACGAAGAAAGCACGCCCGCTTATCGCTCTTGAGCTCACACCCCTTGTACCTATCCGTCGCGGCACAGCCATTGACATAAGTATCCGCTCCCCTCCCACCAAGCGGTCCAAAATTAACTGGAGCAACAACATCATGTTCCGGTCTCGAAACGCCGACGAGTGCGAATTCCTATACGGTCTCATCAATCAAGCGCGCATCAACAACCCAACCTATATAGCGCTGCAGAATGCCCGAGGACCTTACGCAGAGCAACCGGCACCCGTGGAGTCACCCACGAAGAATGGTGGGTTGTTCGGCTGGCCACGACGCAGGCGAAGCTACCGTGCATCTACTTCTCCACGGTCGGTTGCCGATAACTCTGAGAGTAGCGTAGGGACCATGAGCAGTGCATTCTCAGCACTAAAGCGGTTCGGAGGCGGCAGCAAGATGTTTAACATCTCTCGTTCCTCACTCACCTCTCGCGATGGGCAGAATGAAGACAGCTTGTACTCAAGCTCTATCGGCTCCGGGTCAAATGCCTCTCCCTCATCCGGTATTGGCCGTATCGCAGCCGCCATCAAGGGCAGTGATGGTATCGGTCTGTCCAATGCTAAGATTCGGCTTTACTTGCGCGAAACTCAATCCAAGTGGCGCGATATGGGTGCTGCAAGGCTAACCATTATGCCTGCACCCTCAGCACCTCATCCTTCTGACGCGGCCAGCGGGCGCGGAGATGCCAACAGCATTGCGGAAGGAGCCGAGGACAATTCCCCAGCATCTGGATCCGCCTCTCCCCGACGCGGAGCGGAGCCCGAGAAGCGCATCCTAATTCGAGGCAAGACTCGGGGTGAGGTGCTCCTGGACGTCTGCCTAGGCGAAAGCTCTTTCGAGCGTGTGGCTCGAACCGGTATCGCCGTGTCCGTCTGGGAGGAAAATGAAGGCGGAGCCATGCCCAAGAAGGGCGGTGTTACCGTCGGTAGCTCCAAGATCTACATGATCCAGATGAAGAGTGAAGCCGAAGCAGCATACACCTTCGGACTTGTCGGGAAGTCCAGATATTGAAAGACTTCCTCGTAATAACACCGGATATTCATTCCACATAACCCCATTTCTTACTTTTCACCCTGTCTTGTTCATGCATCTGACTTTTAGCGATGTTCCTTTGATTTACCCTGCAGGTGTTATTATTACTATTCATGTGCATGTTCATACCCCCTCTTGCTGTGATCATTTCTTCCATCATTTTTTCCCTTCTTATCATACTTTCCCTGTTTCCTCACTTGCGACCCCCTCTTCACGATTTTCCAGATGCCCATGTGTATATGAACCGGAAGACGACCTGCAAATGTGCGACGCAAGTTTTAGAGTGATGAATACTATATTGAACCATTTCTCTCCAATTATGTCTCGAGCTTTTTATTATTTTCCTACTTGACTAGTTTTAGTTTAAACTTCACTGGTCCTTCTCACTCGCTAGCATTGCGCATCTCTAAGCCGACACTGTAATAACATAGTATCTCATAATTTCAAATAATTTACCATTAGTAGTGGTACCTTGCCCTAACCTACGTCACAGCCGCATACATCGGATCCGTTGCATAAAGTAGTATGAAGGATACCATATCTAGGATAAACCCAAGCGAAAGCATGTCCCAATTGTTTGCTCCTACTATATATAAAAACTAATAACAATAACCCATCCTAGGTGTAGCTATCCATGCATGCATCTATTCGTGTAACTTTGTATGTCTGTGTGTATGTATTCGCCTCTATGCGCATGCGTATGTGTATGTAGGAAGTCGATATATCAATCAATCCGAGTCCGGAATAACCACAACCGAAGGAGATCCCAAAGTGCCGTCCTTGCCATCGTCTTTCGTCTTAGGCTCTTCTTCAGCTGCTGCCGAGGCCGATTTTTTAAAGACGAATCCGATTCTATTACTGTCCTCGTCTTTGAGCAAAGAGAGGAGGACATCGTCGTCGATGGTTGATTCGAGCTGTTCGGCGGTATCCGTCCCTGAGGTGGTCAGATGGACGGGGTCAATGTGACAGTATTGTGATAGAGATTGCTGGATTCGATGTTTTTGTTGATTGGCCGGTTCCGTGGTTTCATCATTTTCATTCTCATCTTCGTCTTCATCGTCATCACCGTGTTTATTCCCGGCCCTCGACCTGCGAGTTGTTTGTCGGGATGGTCTGGATCTTGATCGGGAGCGGATTAGACGTTCTTGCTTCTCCATGTCTACTTGCGAGGCTTTAATCAGGGTAGGTAGATCGGGGAAGTCTTCGAGGGAGCTTGAAGATGAGTGGCCGTCCTCATCTTTGTTCTCGTCTTCATTCTCCGGTACTGTTGGTGGAACAATTTGTCCGTTACCTCCACAGTCACAGTCTAATAGCTCATGTGTTTGGCATTTGCTCTCTTCGTCCAGACGGAACAAGTCTTTGAGTTCGTCCCGCGAAAACTGGGCCACGCTGTCCTTTTTCTCCATGACGCTGTCGGCAAGCCCGATTTTTGTTACTTGACGCTGCCAGATTTTCTCTTCGAGGCTGCCCTTGAGTAGAATTCGGTATATCCGGCAGTGACGCTTTTGGCCATCACGATGAATTCGTGCCATGGCTTGGATGTCAGTGGCGGGGTTCCAATCCACGTCGAATAAGACGAGTCGACTGGCACCTATGAGATTTAGCCCGGTACCTCCAGCTTTTGCGGACAGGAGGAAGGCGAAACAGAGGTTTGATGGGAGACGGTTGAAGTCCTCGACTAGTGATTGTCGTTTCTGTGCCGGGGTGGAGCCATCCAACCGGAGAAAAGGGAGGGAGAGAGATGTAAGTAGGTTTGCTAGTAAGTTTAATGTAGAGGTGTAGTTAGAGACAAGGACTATTTTCTCCGAGGTTTTTGTGCGTAGACCATCAAGTAGCTGATCCAGGACACGGAGTTTGGCACTTGATGAGGGAGTGAAGTGGCGTAGGAGATTCGGTGGTAAGGAAGACAAGAGAGCGGCGATGGTTTCGCTGGGCGTTTCATTTACGTCTCTGGGCGTAAGCAGCGATGGGCTATTGCAGAGTTTCTTGAGAATAGTTATAAGTTGAAGAGCACTCTCCGAGTTTCCGAGGGCACTTTGAAAGACCGGAGAGGCGAGGACATTCTGGTAAATGGTCGCTTGCGTGCGCGTCGCCTTGCAAAATAGCACATACTCCGTCTTCGGGGGAAGATATTTAGCCAGGATATCGGCTGTTCTTCGCAGCATGAACTTGGAAGTGAGCTCTCGTAGCTCCTCATTCCTGGCCTCTCCCTTCTCTATGTCTTTTCGAGTCGCCTCAGGCTGTCGGCTCTTGACAATGGGACCCTCGAATTCCCTAACGAACGACTTGAAAGTCCCCAAGACGCCGGGATTGACAAGGTCTACCGCAGCAAAGAATTCCTTCAGATCGTTCTGAATGGGTGTACCGGATAGAATGATCCGCTTTGTCGCATTCAGCGACTGAATAGCTTGACCGCTCTTATTTTGAAGCGTCTTCAGCCTGTGACCTTCATCGGCAACAATTATGTCGACACCGTTGCTGTTGGCCAGCCCTTCTTGCACCGACCTGAGCTTCTCATATCCCACAATCATCACACTATAAGCCCTTCCTCTCGTAAAATCAGTGAGTCGTTTTCTTTTATCATCGAACACAAAAACTCCAATTCGTTCATTCCCGAGCCATTTGCGGAATTCCTTCCTCCAGTTATTGATTAGAGTAACCGGACAGACAATGAGAGCTTTTTTGACGACCGGGGGACTGTCATAAACTGGATTCTGCTTCAGCAGTGTCCACAAGAGGGTTATAGTTTGCAAGGTCTTCCCTAACCCCATATCGTCTGCTAAAATAGCTCCTTCACCATTGAAAGATCTCATTCCCATAACACATTCGTACAAGAACCGAACACCTTCCCGTTGATGAGGTCGCAGATGTTTAGCCAGAAACGGATCGACAACGACGTCAACGATTTGTTTCCCTTTTGGCACTGAGTCCGGCCGTCTCATGACCAGCGCTCCAGGTTGGCTGGGATCATGGCGTGGAACAGGCTTCTCCGATGGCGTGGGGGGTAAAACAGTGCTTTCCAACAACGGCCTTTTGTATGTGCCAGTGACTGTTCCTTTCCTCGACGCAGGATTCGCAAGAGTTGGAATATTAGGCTTTGCAGGTTGGCTCTTAGCAACTGTCGCCGGAACAGAAGTGCTAGTACTGCTTCGAACAGGAACGAACGCCTTGGTGGGGGGTGTTGTCGAAGGAGGCGGGGCCTTCTTCGTTTGCAGGTATTGTCTTCCAGACAGATACTCTTTCTTCGACATTTCAGAGTCGATTTCCACTTCCTTGCCTCCAATAGATAGCATAACACCAGGTTCGAGGCGGGAGCCATACATCACCCGCCCCATGTCTCTTCCGGAAACATCCTGCAAGTAGGCGTAGCCTTCGCGTATAGTCAGGATCCCGTCGCCGTCCCACGTTTTGTTCTTCTTCATGGTGACTTTGCGCCTTCACAGCTGGTCAGCCTTGCTCGCCACTACCTAGGAGCCAAATCCAACAAGATAGACTGCACGTACCAGAGGACATTGAAATACCTATCTCCAGTGGTATCACCATGGCTTCCCGACTCAGCTGAGGGCTCCACATCCTTCTTGGGCTTAGTTATAGGCTTCAGCGGTCGTCCAGCGGCTGGAGTGGTATTCTCAACGTCCGCCGGATATTCTGGCTGTAAACGCGGTTTCTTGGGTGGAGGGCCATCGGCCTCGGAAGTTTCAGCGGGCACAGCTGGTCTCGAAACCGTAGGCTGAAGGGGTTTCCTCATGGAAGGAGGTTTAAATGGCTTAAAAACCATCACGATTGATGGTTCCTGGTGCTTTCTGCTGGACAGTTGCACCTTGGAGTTGATGAGTCTTTTCTGCTGCGCGCGACAGCCTCGACGCGCGGGTGTCGCGACATCACGTGACAATACAGTGCTTATTACCTATTATGGTAGTAGGGCCTGTTGTGCTTGTACTGTGTATGGGATATAGAGTTTACACTGTCGACAGTAGATTTAGCTTTTCAGGAAATGTTGGAAATATTTTCTTTTCTGAATCTTTGCGTTGCTGAGCACGGTGTTTCCATCTACGGAATCCAACGCATTCCATCCGAACCCAATCACTATCAAGATTGTATACAGCTCATAAAGATTATTCTAAGTATATTCGCGTCAAATGTAGCACATCATTAAGTGTTAGACTGACGACATTGCTCGGTATAACGTGCCTAATGCTCAAATCCAAAAATTGTCTCCTATTCTTAACAGCGCTTAGTCCGCGTCGGCCACAATCACCTTATCGGTCATAGGGATAGACTTAGGTCCCTCATAGGTGTTCATGCGGAAAAGCCACCAGACAGTCACGAAGATCGTCAAGCCTCCAGTCATCAGACTGGCGTAGTTCATAGAAGCGGCATCGGTGGGCAAGGCGTAAGGGAAACAGAAGATCACAACAAAGGCGAGAATGTAGATGCATGCCAAGATATTGATTAGATATCCAATACGGCCCATCCAGAAGTGACCGGGTGTGAACGAGGACCGGCGAGTAAGCACATGCGGAAAGATGGCGGCGAAATACGAAAGACTGGATAGCTGCACGAAACAGCCAACGAAAGCGTTAAAGGCAGTGGTGGATCCGACGTAGATGCAAGCAAGAATCGTGACAATCCCACCGCATACCAGTGTGGCATTGAAAGGGTTGTGCATCCGTGTGTTGATATGTCCGAGCCAGCGAGAGAAAGGAGTTGCTCCGTCACGAGAGATAGTCCACAAAGTGCGACCAGCGGTGATGTAACAACCAGCGCAAGTGATGACCGTAGGTATGAAAGCCACGATAAGCAGACCGATTGCACCACCCCTAGATCCTGTTGCTTGACGGTAAATCTCGGCGAGAGGGAATCCGTAGACGCTGTTGATGACTGCGTTGAGATCGGTGATCGAATAGAACAGGGCAATCATGTAAAGGACACCGGTGATGAAGCCGACGCCCATTTGAGCCAGGACAGCCTTGGGAATGTTACGGCTTGGCCTGTTCATCATTAGTATATCAAGCATCTGAATTACGATGGTAACTTTACCTAGGAATTTCCTCCGCAAGATGCGACGAGCAATCGGGGGTGCCCACACTGTAGGCTCCGTTGAGCATACCGGCAACAAAGACAAAGCCCTGACTAGAATATCCGGTGTCGTTCTCCCAACTGCTCCAGACATCTTTGCCTGTGGCATAGCCAGTGCCCTTGACATGGGGCATGACCGCACACACGATGATGGTGATCAACACACCGGCCAAGATGAAGAACATCCCAAGATTACCGATATGCGGGAGAAACCGGTTCATGAAGAGAACGATGCAGCAACAAAGCCATGTGCAGATGATGAAGCTCACAAAGATATGCCATGCCTGAGGGACGAAGCCTGGATGCATGAGGGCATACATGGAGACAGTCTGCTGCCCTAGGATAGCGGACATGGAGGCAGCACCGAGAATCCAGGCAAGGGAGTTCCAAAAACCAGCGAAGAAACCACAAACACGACCATATTTTCCTGCTGTGATGGAAGCCCAGTGATAGACTGGTAGCTGTTATCAGCAACCGACCAGAATTGGGTATTGGTAGAAGAACATACCTCCACTCGCAGAAGGCATTCCAGATGCCAGTTCAGCAATCGATGCTGCAACAAGCCAGTAACAAACCGAAACGGCAATGCTATAATCACGATTAGCGACGGCGTGGACCTTCCTCTAGGGTTGAGTGGCGTCATACAATTCGTAAATCACACCTGATGGTCCTCCATTGCTCAGTGCAGTTGTCTAACAAGACACTGTCAGTTGCTTTACTCTTCCGTAAGTATAATGTGTCAAGGCTAGCATAGCATACCACACTGCCACCTTGAGCAATCCATGTATTTCCAGTCGTAACAGCAACGGCACAAATGCTCAGTAGACTGAAGTTCCGTTCGACTTCCTGACGGTGACCCGAGGCGTTGACCACTTCAATCGAAGTCGAATCATCCCCAGCCTCAGCTGTTCCCACTTTCTCTACTTCCTTTTCGGCGGCCATATCGGAGGACGGGGTGGACACGCAGAAGATCGTTACTAGGTCTGGAGGCGAAGAGGCGAGACGGCAAGACGTAGATGTCGGTAGAGGCGTACAAATGAGAGGTAGTTTCCAAATTAATCAGCGAAAGGCTGCTCTTGTGCTTCCGGTAGATGATCACAGGCGACAGGAATAATAGTATATCAAGATCGACGAAGGAATGACTGAAGTTTGCGGGTATCGATTAAAACGGTAGCCTCGAATAAGTCAGGAGAACGTAGGATTCGGCATTGCTCCTCCGGTGACCATATGATGGTGAAGAAAGTAAGTATGAAGATCAAGGAAGTGAGCAGCCCTGGGATGAGTCCCGGTTTATAGTCGAATGGGGGAAGATAGGCAGGACCGGGGCAGACACCCTCCTCTCTCACTATACAGCAGGGAGTAGACAGTATGAGACCGACCTAAAGACCCGGTGGTTCTCCAACTGGTGGAGCCAACTGGAACCCTCAGAGGGACAAAGTCCAATCATTGCTTGAAGAGACTGGCTGGTGGTGGCCAACCTGGACGGGAGCGGGTCGGGAAGGCCTTCTGACTGGCTCCCGCCGGTCACTAAGAGCAGCAGCACGCGGAGAGACGCCATTCCCAAAGGGGGAGCTATAGCAGATATACCTTCATCTGCAATCCACTGATCCCCTCGTGGTTGAAGTTGAATTTAGGTGTGCGATCATAATTTGGATGGAATGGAGTCCGGATGGCAGGTGAACAGGTCTCTTCCCCACAATGGGGTATCCGACTTCATCTGTGCTTTTTCGAGGTCTTGGAAATCATGGATTGATATATGACACTGAAGTCATCAAGTGTAACTGAGTGACAGTTGACTGTATTGTAAGATGTGGTCGATTTCACAGCGAAGTTCAGGCATAACAAGGGTGGTGGAACAGAAAGCCTTATCTACTCATCGTGTACTTGTTCACTTGGGTCTAGTAAGGAGCCCTGATAAGATACACAACGATTTGGGCGATTTGCTCCTGATAAACGCCTCCAGATTGCTTCCATTCCCTGTATCATATCGATATCTCTTATCTATACAAAGACAAATATACTCAGCAAATTCTGCAGTGGTACCTTCGGGGGAGGGGGGGGGGTAATCTTCAAGGTCAGGTTCCTCGCCGTGGAAGTAACTCCCTCATCTGCTTACTGCCACTGAGAAAATCCGTGTAACCACAGCCTCTGCCTGCTGTTGCCAAGCCCTGAAGAGTGGAGACCATCCGATTGTGGAAATCGCGCCACGAATCCGTCCATCCCGACCGTGGGCTTGAAGTTCTCTCTTGTTCTACAATGGCACTGACTTTTTCATTCCCCTTATCCATGGCGATTATTCATATGCTGTGATATGATTATAAAATTGAGATAGTTCTCAGTGGTTTAGTTAATGGCACAGAAACTCCCATAGGCGCGGGGTTATAGCCATGAACGTTCTAGTGCTCCGAAGTAGTCCACGCACTACTACTAGTAAGCCTGGCGCAGCTTACACTTGGGATGTTCGTTCGGCTCGGCCGGAGGTAGAACGTGGGTGCTTAGTGGGCAGGGGAACTCAGCTACTCCGTAGTACTGACTAGGCTTTCAGCTTGGGTTGTATTTTCCGAGGGGTCTGGCCAACTCTTTATGAAACCCAATATCATAGCGTAGTACTCCGGGGCCTACTATGTAGACTGAATGAATGAATGGCTTGGAAGACGGACAGCGACATGCTTCCGTCCCGTCTTAATCTAATACCGCAATTACTGTCTATAATGACCCAAAAGGACATTTAACACCGAGAGGGCCATTTCCTTCCAGAAACGAGGCCGATCTCTCCTATAAACAATAAGCTGTCTCACTTTGCATCTTAGCGTTCAGATAGTCTTCTCACTCAATAAAGATCGAAGGATCTCTGCAAAACGAGACTCCTCTATTCGGAGAAACACCGGTGGTATCCATAACCCTTTAACAACGGCCCCTAATTAATGGTGTAGAATGATGGCGAGACAGCCCTGTTTCTGGGTTAATCCTTCACTCAAAACAATGATGGTGACGGCGCAGCTGCAGCGGGATTCTATCCCGGTGTTCCAGAACACGAACCATACTAACCTCGATGACGGTGGAATTAATGAAACCATATTATGCAATCAAGTTTTGTTAATAATCCTCCGACCAAAACTGAGCCCGATCGAAATCCTTCACCCTGACTGGCGTAACCCCCCAAAGTTTAATATAGTACATCCCTGCTAGTTAAGAATCGTCTAGGTTCACCGATCTGGTAATCGATCGTGTCCGCTGTCTTGATTGGATCGAAGGATTTAGTCTAAACACCACCTGCAGCTCCAAGTCGCTGGTAACCTTCGCATATACTACGTAGGCATGGCTTGTCTGAAACTAGGTTGCCTTCCTTCGGGGCTTCCGAGAACTGCTACGTTTATTGTTAGAGCATATTGAGGTCATTCACGGGCAGGTTCCGAAAGTATAGGGGTGTCTAAACAGATACGAGGGGTTGTCTTGATACAATGAATTGGGAGTAGCCATGTTGCAAATACTGAGCTGAAGTTTAATCGTTAGGGGGGATCCTTGGGCGGTGGCCTTGCCATCCGAGTTTCAGAGGGATCTAGATTCGGTACGTAGAGGGTACTACTAGGTGGCTGCATTATGCGGCGCGGGGTGCCTTACAGGGTGGGATGACTTGCGGATGCACAATCTTCCCAGTCAATAGACGTTAGTATACACATATATATTATGCACGTAGTACATAGCACATAGTATGAAGTACAAATCCCATCAGGATCATGCCATGCAATAGAACGAACTCAAAAGATCCAGGGACACTTGGATCGTCCTGCTGGTTACTGAAAGGGCTAACAGACCCCTGACTAAGGTAGCATTATTTAGCTCGAGGCAGCAGCAGCAGCAACAACAACAACAAAGTCTTAGTGTAACTCCCAATTGCGTACTACTCCTCGCTTAATCCACCACGAGATGGTGTCGCTTTGGTGTCGCTTGCATCCCTCGTTATTAGCCCTGGTTTTCCCGAGGCTAGCCCGATCCTGCCGGGTCCATGATGCAGCTAAAGCCGCAAACGTTGACGTAGGAAAACAATAAATCGCCGCAGTGATTATTCCTGAGTGGCTAAACGAAAAATTAATTAAGAAAATACGGCCCAACCCACCATCCAGTGGTTTGAGATTTATGAATGGGCATAACCGATCGCCTACTCCACGGGGGAAGATGGATGGGCCCATGGCCCTATGACACCCTGGCGGGTTAAAGGAGGATCTGCTCGAGATCGGCTCACGCGACCCAGGCAACAGGATGAAAATTCTACTTTTCTCAATGACAAATGCAGTAGTAGTACCATGAATTGGAGTACTTGTACTTTGTAGTATGGGCTGGGCCCTTTTCTGTTCTCATAGGCTTCAGCTAGTTAAATGCTTAAATACTTTTCCCGGCATGGAACCCTCCCTTCCGTCTTGGTAAGTGCTGGTAAGTGCAAAGGGCCAAGAGAGCTGGGCCGGCTGGGCAATATGGAAGCACAGGCTCGCGGCTTCAGCTGACTGGCTGATTTGTGGAGGAAAGGAGGGGGTAATGATGGAGTGGAGGGCATATTTAAGTTTACGGCTAAGTGGGCCCCTGATCCAAATTAAGTTGCCACTAGCGGGAGCCCACAGGGAGAAATTCAAATAAATACACGCAGGCTGGTGGGTGACACAACTGTATTGTGTCCGTTTGGTGGAGTTGGCCTTTGTGAAGTAAATTGCACGTTCTTTGGTAGTCTTACTTAGGCGCGGTCAACGGTATTATTAGCTTCGCTCAATTCCCCCATTTCCTGTCGCACTCGATATTGGGTGGGTTATGTCCACGAGCGAGTAATTATGCTAAGTATATACTCAATAATACCTGGCACCTATCAAGAACTGGCACAGTATACGTATGCAGCAGTGGAAGTGGGGATCGATGGCCGATCGCTCCAATTCATACCTGCGAACAAAACAAACTCCATGATTGAGGCGGCAAAAGATGCCCCTCATATTGGCCACTGCGCACCGTCTGCGTAGTAATCTCGGCTGTGGCTGCTGAACAATCAGCTGGGACATGGTCCAGTAGTTACACACAATACTAAAGGTAAAAAAGTGATTACATACACCCTTGCGATGTTCTAGATCATTCCTACTCTCCCCGAGATAAAGCAGAGCAATGTTTGGTAAGGGCCAGGTACCGGGCGAATGGGAACGATTGGAACCCAGCATGTGTCCACGGTATACTTTTGGCCAGCTCGAATTCAATATTCCGGACAAGGATCCTTGGAACCCCACGGTAATCCCTGCTAGTTTGGCGTCGTGGAGCCATCCCATTCAGAGGCAAGTAGGAAGAAGTAGCCTACTAGTACTGAACACCACTACACACAGTAGTTAGTAGTGGAAGTAGTGGGAGGAGTCTAGCTAGGAGCCCCGCAACCGACTTGGGCCACTACGGATCCGCCTGTCTGATTTACCTCCATTCGGGCACTGTCCGTTTTAAACCTGAAGGTGGCTGCTGGTGTCCTTCGGCTGCTTTGGCCCTCAGAGGGTGTTAACCCTTTAGTACTAGTCTGGTTGATAATCCCGGCCCCGGCTCAAGTCCATACTATTCGCCCATCCACCGATGCACACGCATCGTCAAGGATCGTTCTTCGATTCTTTCATCTCCTCTACCCTGTTTCCCTTATCGCTACTATGTGGACAGCTTATACCTAAATCTGGACCGCTGATTGATTGATTCGGACGCATCACCCCTCGGCCAATGTGCCGGCTCTTGAACCTTATTGTTGCAATATGTGCGTGAGATTCCTTTTATATCAGCCCATGTCCCTTTTGGCCCCTGCATATGTACCCCCCGTCCCTCAGGTGATTTCAATTGACCGGCCTTATCGCGTCCCTCTAGGCTGCACTCCAGTGAGATGGCGAGCCTAGACTCCGCCTTCGCGACGAGCTTCGCGAAAGAGACATGGGCCCTCTACAGTGTCGGAGTATTGGGCGCCATACTACGATTGTGAGCTCCCTTGACCCAGAGAGAGAGACCTTCGGCGGATCATCGTGTATTAAAGTATTTCATACTGACCGTCTCCGTCGTATAGCGTAGCACGAATACGCCGATTGGGTTACCAGAACCTTCAAGCAGATGACTACTTGATGCTATTCGCCGTCGTCTGGTATACTCTATTATGTGTCGCTCTCAACGAAGTAGCCTCTGGAGGCGGATCAAACCTGATGGACGAGAATGATATAAAGAATTTAACGCCATCGATCAAGGCGGATCGTGTCAGGGGAAGCAAATGGGTTTTTGTATCAGAACATTCCTTTCTCCTCGCGATTTACGCCATGAAAGCATGTATGCTGGTTATATATGCCCGCATCACGTATGACTCTCTATCCCACAAACATTAAATTTAGATCTAACATTTCTTACCAGGGAAGGATTACGCCAACGCAAATGGGTGAATTATCTCGCTGTCTACGTTGCTCTAGGCTTCGTTGCCAATGAATTGTCTCTGTTTCTCATCTGCCGGCCTTTATCGAATTACTGGGCCGTGCCTACTCCCTATGGTCAGTCGAAGAGATGAGCCCCGCAGAAAGAGGATGCCGGTTACTAACTTGTGTATAGAACAATGCTCGACATATCAATACTATGAAATTGTTCAAGGATGTCTATCGATATCTGCAGACGTCTTCATGCTTATCATTGGGCTGCCACTCATGGTTCAAGTGCGAGTGCCTCTCAAGCAGAAGTTGATTCTCTTGATCCTATTCGGCATGGGCATCTTCGTCATTGTCGCAGCCCTCCTGAACAAACTCTATTGTCTCGTTCCCTCCCTCATCTCCTATGTCTACATGAACTGGTATTTCCGGGAAGCGACAGTAGCTATCCTGGTCACCAACTTACCCCTCGTTTGGTCTCTCCTTCGCGATGTGTTCCCTGCGCTCAAGAGCTGGACCGGAGGGTCACGACGAGCAACAACCGAACGCTATCGGAGTGGTCCCTGGACAAGTAAGGGATCTGCATTTCGTCACTACGGCCCCCACAGTCAGTTGCAATCTGGCGAATACAGCATGCACAACTACAACCAAAGCACCGTTGTTGCGCCCCAGAAGACTATTTCGGAAGTCAGTCTCGAGCCGAGCGATGATCGCGAGCCCAGTGAGGACGGCTCCGAACGGGCCCTCAGAATCCGACAGGATGTGACGGTCACGGTGGAGCGTGAGACGCGACCACCTGAGTATTGGGAGTCCAAGAAGGCCCAAACTTCACAAGGCCGGCTCCCAGAACCATGAAGGTCACGATTGTTTCATATTGCTCCATTTTTTTCACCGACACTATTTTCTCAACGCTTGTATAGAAAACTTTTCTTTTCTCTTCTATTTTGACAACACTCCCTTCATCAATTTTCCTTTCTTTCACGACACTCAAGTTCCACTTGCGGAATGATCTGATAACGGTGTCCGCTTGACTATTGTACATAACTTGCTCGGCACCCCATCGCTTAACGCCCATATTTCCACTGATCATCGGCATGTGGGGGACCAGGATGCCGAGAAGACATCCATTACGACCATGGTTCGGAAGATAGATGAGGGACTAATTGGCACTTAGCGACAAGGATAGACAAAATGTATTGTGTGATATAGTAATAGATAGACACCATCATTGAACTATACGTTCAGCTGAGCCGTTTCCATGTCTTAGGCCTTCCGCCGGCCGCATAGCGTTTGGCAAATGTTTTCCAGAAGGTCGTCTTCCCTGGGACCATCCGAGCCTGCCGACCTGTGACCTGATCGTCCCGTGACAGGCCACTTCGGGGTTTACTTGCGAGTACCGTAATATATGCTAAATTAGGCGGCTGTATGGTGTAAAATTGGAAATCCTATAACCTCCCTTCCCCGATGGTATGCCTGATCATCTTTCAGTCTCCAATCTCTCCTTTGGTGATATCCCTTGTGGTTCCTGCATCTCCAAACCCCAAGCTACAAAGCAGTACTCTTCATCAGTTTATGACGTCTGCTACGGGGCGCTGATTTGTCCGCATCCATTCCATGGACTCACTCCAACTGTGCATCAGGCGATACTAGAAGTAGTAAAAGATCAGGTACAACTCGTCTACGCTTCTCTTTTTGACAACTGCGAACTCTAATCATTGGTGTCCGTGCCGAGAGCAGACCGAGGCTGGCTGACAGGAACTTAACTCACGCTCTGAAGTCAAAGAACCCCTTCAGCCAAAGCCAAAGGGCAGGTGCCGTCCGAAGAAGCCGGGGCCTGATAAACTTCGTGCTGACTTGGTCTGCTACTAGGTAGTAACCTTAAGTTCTACCGCGGCCGCTTTGGCAAGACTGAGAACCCACCACCTTCCGCAAAACTCACCAGCCATCATAATCCTCAGTCACCCAACCAAAATATTTACCAACAATCACCAAAGAGCGTCTCGGTCGGGTAAGAATGTTCTTTTCTCAGATTGGCTGTACCCAAACACCTATCTGCGCGACTATTTGGCATGTGGTCCATGGGACCACCCTCCCCATCCCCCACCCAGCAGCAACCACTTTAGGGAATGATCTTAGATTTAGATTCCCCGACGCCGAACTTCATCATTCGGCCCACGGGTCTGTTCAGCGTCGACGGAAATAACTTGCCCAGGTGCGTACGCCGTACGAAAGGCATGGCCGAGTTGCAAAGTTTCCACGAATCGAATGCATGCTCTATGCTGTAAGGTACAGCGACAGTAGCCGCAGCCGACTACCCCAGTGATCGACATTCGCACCACACTGGCCAGCACCTCCAAGCCAGAGTCCTGGAGTAACGCGAGAGATGCGAGCGCAGCGGGATTTGGAGAACTTCAACAAAGCCCGTCATTCGCAGGGTTAAAATCGCGGCGTGGCGCTGATTTGCCACCATACTACACAGTACACAAACTCATTTCTTCCAGGTTGGAGTGAGACTGAGATTGTCCCTGAGAACAACACCCCTGTCTCGTCTTTCCTCTTTTTTTAGGAATACGGGAGCAACTAGGCAAGACTGTGCTAAAGCACGTCTCAGTTTCTGTGACAGCAGGATTGTAGTTCGTGCGGACCGCTTACGCCCGTGCTTTAGTCTTCCAAAGTCTGCCGTTGAACTATTGAAATGTCTCCAGGGCTTGACTATGGTTGATCAGATGTCACTTTCGCACACTTGTCCCATAGACTTTCGGAGTACCAGACTTTCACTCGAAAAAGAGGGCCACCGCTAAAGGAGAAAATCACGCACTATAATGAGCAGTTACTTGTTCCGCTAAGCGTTCGGTCCTGTGATAGTTTCTCTCATCCGAAAGCTTATAGGTTCACAGCACCTTGCGACAGTTCATGCACCATGCCCAGCACGGTCCCCATTTCTCGGCTGCCTTTGCAAATTTCTGAGCAACCTGCATTACAGGGGATGCCCACGGTCCCACTCATGCAGGTGTGCATGGGATGTTCGATATACACCATCTTCCATACACATGGGGTTTCAGCGTCTGGTCCCACAATTCCACGGCTCCTTGTACAGCATTTGAGTCTATGTGCTAAACTTGATGCAAATATTACACCAGGCGAGACAGTAGATTCGCAGTACAAAGTCTGCAGGTCGTCTTTGTACGGGGACTGCAGATCCACGTGGCTTTAGTTCAACGCATGCTGATCACCTCGGGGCGAACTACTGAATCCCTCACTGACTGATTTAGCGTATGTTGAAGAGGAAGATGACGAGTCCTCCTGTTAGCTTCAGGATCTAAGTGTTTTGAGTCAGTCGATTAGCGTTCCCTCCGAATCATTCTGTGTTAGAGGATGCTTCGTCCGAGACATGGGAGACACCGCTGAACTTTGTTCATGGATTTGAACATTTCCGACCACCGCGCGCCGAATTTCTCCCGTGGGCGACAAGGCGGAGAAGCAACCGTGCTGAGAGAGTGGGCTTGAAGTTTTGAACACTCTAACCGGTACCAACTCCTTGTCCTAGCACGAATGAAGCTTAGAGCGCTTTTCAGGAGCAGGCGCCGTTTTCTTGGAGTGGACAGGTCTAGTCTACTGTCGTGATAGTAGTATACACTAACCAGCGCGCTTTGCAACTTTTCTGGGATCCTTCGACTTTCGAGACCCAACCACTAATCAAGCACAATATATTGCACAGCATCAGCGCCCCCTGGACTGGAGTCTAGAAGGAATAATGTGTTGGGCGCCGATATTAAGGAGACGCACGTTATCACAGCCACAATTCCCATTAGTGATGCTGTGTTGTCATCCACGTCATCCCGATTTGGCATAGTGCACGTGATGCGGGGCTGCCTCTCCCTCTCCAGCTTCATCTATACTGTATCGTCTTACTACAGCTTAGTGTCCTCTTTAACCTCACTCAGGATCAGATATATTGATTCTAGTTGCATTTTCGAGGAAGCAGCCCGCTTGACGTCTTGCATGCAGCATACCCGCTGAAGTAAGCACTTGTACTCTTAGTCGTTACCTTATCTCTGCAAACGGAACACCCGCATCTGTAGACTAACCGGGGAATGTAGCTTCTATGTGTTTGAAAACAGATTAAGCCTTTGCTTATAAGACATACACTGCAAGATTATCAGGGGCAATTGAAAGACCATCAGGTTTACCATGACTCCATCATCGTTCTTAGGCCTTGAGGGCCTTCATGTCTTCATTACTGGTGCTGCAGGAGATATCGGTAGGCGGGCGGTGCAGGAATTCTTAGGTATGTTGCTTACTTACTCAGTCTTCGCTAGCTGGAGGCAAGTCCCAAGCATGTATTAGCCTACCCTCCTTTTGTAGTTGACGACCGTAGTGATAGCCACCAGCTGTTGCTGAGCTATTCCTTATATGTCACCATCTGCCTCCATGTGCCCTTTTCCCTGCGCAGATACAGCTCGATTCTAACCGTATTCACAGAGCAAGGATGCAAAGTGACGGCGTTTGATCTGCATGATGTGGAATTACCCGAGTCAGGTAAAAAAGACGTGGACGCTAGACTCCATGTCCTCAAGGGTGATGATACGAACGAGGAATCTATCCAATCCAGCATCTCCCAAGCCAGCAGACGCCTCGGCCCCATCAATGTTCTCGTTGTCAATTCTATCCCTGCTGGACAAGGCAGTGAACTTCCCATCTGGGATCTGCCCTTGGACACCTGGGAGAAGACGTCTCGAGTCAACGTAAGAGGAACGTTTCTCACAATTAAGCACTTCCTGCGAGCTGCTCAATCGGCCCAGCAGACTCTCGGCAAGGAGTTGCATAATCTTGCTATCGTCGTGGCAGGAGGAGAGCTACTTGGGAAGGCAGACTTGCACACCGAGTTGATCCAGAAAGTGAAGAAGGATATAGTCCGTCTCAACAGGCAGGCGAGGATCAACATCATTGCCCCAGTTGATACCACAGGGACGCAACCAAAGTATGAATTCCTGATCATCCCAGAAATACACCCGCTAACCTCTTCTAGCATATCTCACTCAACCACAACAGACTCAATTTCCCGAACCATAGCATTCCTAGCCTCCCACCGCGCAGCTGGACACCTGACAGGCCAATGCCTCAACCAGAATAACAACACGCAAAGCGGGTCTACCTCAACCAGCCTTACCCCGTCCATCCCCAGAGGCCTCTCCAGACTCAGCAAAAAAATCCGCGTCGTCGTATCCATCGACCTAGATGCCGTCTCTGGCTGGCTCGGCACCGGTCACCACCCAGACAACATCCTCGCCGACTACTCAGCGGGCTTCTTCGGCGCCAAAGTCGGCGTCCCACGTCTCCTGCGCATGCTCAAGAAGCTCAACCTCGCCGACCGCTGCACGTGGTTCATCCCGGGCCACTCCGCGGAGAGCTTCCCAGATGAAGTACGCCAAGTAGTCGACTCCGGCTGCGAGATAGGACTGCACGGCTACGCCCACGAGGGGGCCTACCAGATGACGGTGGAACAAGAGCGCGACGTGCTGGTCAAGTGTATCGACATCGCCACAAAACTCACGGGCAAGAAACCAGTTGGTTATCGAGCTCCGTTATACCAGCTCCGCGAGTCAACTCTAGACCTGCTGGAAGAATTCGGCTTCGAATACGGTATCCTCTCCTCCCCTAACAGTCCTCCGTGACCCCTTCCTGCCACTCCACCCCTATCTACCACACAACAACCTACTAAGAATGATACTACCATGAATAGACTCCTCCATAACCGAGCACGACAGCCACCCCATCTTCGCCCCTCGCCGCCCACCCATCCAAACCATCGACTTCTCCCAGCCTGCCTCAAGCTGGATGCATCCCCTCCCACCTTCCTCAGACCGACGCCCTCTCGTCTGCGTCCCTTGCAACTGGTATATGGAAGACATGACCCCGATGCAGTTTCTTCCCCACGCGCCGAACTCGCACGGCTACACGGACTCGCGGGTCATCGAGAACATGTGGAAAGATCGGTTCCTCTGGATTCGGGAGAATGAGGAGGAGCCGGTGTTCCCCGTGCTGATGCATCCTGATACGAGTGGCATGGTGCATGTAATTGGCATGTTGGAACGGATGTTGGGATGGTTGAAGGAGTGGGGGGAGGATGAGGTGGAGTTTTGTCAGTCGCAGGAGGTGGCGAAGTGGTTTAGGGAGAAAGAGATGGGGAAGAAGGAGTAGACAGATAGATGGATACTAGTGAGGGAGGGTTTTAGGTGATATTGGGGAGGGGGGTAGTAATGTTATTCAGCTACGGTGACTTACGTCTATAACTTACTAGAAGTGTGAGTAACTACTTAAAAAAAGAGAGAATATCTAGACTTGAGGAAGTGACATTTGATCCAATTTATCATACTATACACCAGTAAGATATTAACAAACCGTGTATTCCATCTAGTTGACAGCAACAACCCCCATATTATCATATCACCTCGAAATATATCAGCTGTACAGCCCAATATCTTCAAACATATATGCAGCGTAAATAAGAAAGATGAAAAGAAAGAGAACAAATAAGCAGAAGAAAACAAGCTCATCATCACATCATCTCATCGTAAAAGAAACAATCGCTATCAATCAATCAATCAATCAATCAATCACTTTTCCATCTAACCCCCATCAACCACCCTACTCATCATACAAATCCATATCCCCACTACCATCCTCCATCTCCGCCAACGCCTCATCATCCTCATCGATCATATCCTGATCCTCATCGGGTGGAATCTCATGATTAGGAAGGACATCGATACGGCCGTCGCGCATAACCACCCTCGCGGCCTCGCCATCCCGCACACTGCCGCGCAGAATCAGCACCGCCAAACGATTCAGCACCTCGCGCTCGATAATCCGTCCGAGCGGACGAGCACCATAAGCGGGCGAGTATCCCGCTTCGCCCAGGTAATCCTTGACTTCGTCGGAGCATTCAATGATGACGTTGCGGTCATTGTTCTCAAGACGGCGCTGCACCTCGTCCAGACGGAGGTCGACGATCTTGCGGATCTCGCGCTTGGTGAGACGGTTGAAGATGACGGTGCTGGAGATGCGGTTAAGAAATTCAGGGAGGAAGTAGTCGCGCAGGGCGCCCATGACGAGCTCGCGGGTTTGAGGGTCGATGCGGCCGTCCTTGGTGGTGGGGCGGGAGAGGAATTCGGCACCCAGGTTGGAGGTCATGACTACGATGCAGTTCTTAGCGTCGACGATTCTGCCTTGGCCGTCGGTGATGCGGCCGTCGTCCATGAGTTGGAGGAGGACAGTCAGGACTTCCTTGGCGGCTTTTTCGACTTCGTCGAAGAGCAGGATCGAGAAGGGCCGCCGGCGGAGGCTCTCGGTTAGCTGGCCGCCGGCGTCGTGGCCGACGTAGCCTGGCGGAGCGCCGATCATGCGGCTCAGGGAGTGGCGTTCTTGGTATTCAGACATGTCGAAGCGGATCATGGCCTTGGGATCGTCGAAGAGGAACTCGGCCAAGGCCTTGGTCAGCAAGGTCTTACCGGTACCGGAGGGACCGCAGAACAGGAAGCTAGGGGGTGAGTTGGGGTTGCTGAGACCAGACCGCTGGAGTCGGATGGCGTTGGAGACCGAGGTCACCGCTTCCTTTTGACCAACGACGACCTTGCCAAGGTACTTCTCCATGTTCAGCAGCTTGTCCTTTTCGGTGGTCTTGAGCCGTGTCACGGGGATACCGGTCCAACGGGCGACGATTTCGTTGATTTGCTCGGGGCCGACTGCGTCCGCGAGCAGAGCTTCGCCGGCATCGCCCTGACGTGCCCGCCGCTCTTCATCGGCCCTGGCGCGGTCGACTTCGAGCCGCTCAATGAGGGCCTTGGTCTCAGGGATGGCATAGTACTCGAGATCGGCGGCTGTTTGGGTGTCACCAGAGCGCTCTGCTTCATCACGCTTGACCTTGAGGGAGTCGAGCTTGATCTTGGCGTCCTGGATGGACTTGCTGCGCTGCTTTTCGCTCTCGTACTTCTCGCGCATAGGCCGCAGCTCTTCGGTAACGTTGGCGGCTTCTTGCTTGGCGGCTTCGAGACGGGCTTTGGAAGCATCGTCCTTCTCGCGCTCGAGAGCGTGGATTTCAATCTGCAACTGACGGAGCTTTCTCTCCAGGTTGTCTAGCGCCTCTGGCTCGGATTCGCGCGTCACCCGCACGGCAGCGGCGGCTTCATCGATCAGGTCAACTGCGGAGTCGGGGAGTCGGCGTGCGGTCAGATAGCGCGCAGCTAGCGTGGCAGCGGACACGATAGCGCCGTCGAGGATGTTGACACCGTGATGCACCTCGTACTTCTCCTTGAGTCCACGCAGAATGGAGATGGTTTCCGGAACGGAAGGCTCCTTGACGAGGACTTGCTGGAAACGACGCTCGAAAGCCTGGTCCTTTTCGATGTATTTGCGGTATTCGCCCAGGGTGGTCGCACCAATGCAATGCAACTGACCACGAGCCAGCATGGGCTTCAACAGGTTGGCAGCATCCATGCCCCCTTCGCCGCTGGAGCCTGCGCCCATGAGCAAATGAATTTCATCGACAAAGAGAACAATGGTGTCTTTTGATTCTTCAATCTCCTTCAGAACGCCCTTCATCCGCTCTTCGAACTCTCCGCGATATTTGCTGCCTGCAACGAGCGAGCCGACGTCGAGAGACAGCAGCCGGCACTGTGCTAGGTTGGCCGGAATATCTGCATTGACGATACGACGAGCCAGGCCTTCGACAATGGTGGTCTTTCCGACACCGGGTTCACCGATGAGTACTGGGTTGTTCTTGGTCCGGCGACTCAGGATACGAATCACCCGACGGATCTCCTCTTCACGGCCAATGACAGGGTCAATCTTTCCCTCTCTGGCCAGAGCAGTCATGTCGATGGTGAATTTCTTCAGGTTCTCGTTTTCGCTTTCGGCATCCGCAGTCTTGGAGTCGACCCGTTTTGTACCACGGATCTGCTGGACAGCACTGTCGATCAACTTGACGTTGGGAATGTTGGCATCGGCCAAGGCGCGCTGGACCTGTGAGTCCTGCGCGGCGGAGAGGATGAGATGGTCAATGGCGACATAGCTATCCTTTTGCGTCTTGGAAAGTTCGGAAGCCGACCGGATGACCTTGGCAAGTGCGGGCGAGACGCTGACAGTCTCTGGCGGAGGATCCTGAGAAGGGAGACGAACCAGCATCTTCATGAGAGATCGTTCCAGAAGTTGTGGATCGCCATGGGCGCGTTCGACAACCTGGCGGAAGAGAGGGGCGGAGGAGGTTTCGTGGGAAGGATGAGCGGGGGCTTGCTGGTCTTTGGATTCATCGGGAGAAGGGTTGAGGAGAGAGACGGCGAGATGAACAGGAAGGATCTGAGAGTGCGAATATTGCTCTGCCAAGCTGCTGGAGTCCAGCAAAGCCTTGTTGGCTCTGTCTGTGAATTGAGCGCCGTTCATGTTGGGGCGGAATGTGAGGGAAGAATGTGGGATGGAAACGAGCTAATCAGTGATTATGGTTTAAGTTGCGACACAAGAGGGTAAGAGATGTGGTAAAGGCGAAGAGGATGAGTAAAATGCTCAGAGATTATGTGGAAGCAATGTTCCGTGTGAACGAGAGAAGGAAGTCTGCTGATTGAGTCTGATGAGAGAGAAGAGGCGAGCAGAAGATGATGCCGGCTTGCATAATATACAGCGTGACTTCAGATGCCCGATTGGGTTCATGACGACACTGGCAGCTTCCACCGCCTTCCAGAAGCACCGCCTGTCATCCAGATGTCACGTGTTGTTGCCTGACCCTGCGGGCTTGTTCTTGCCTGATCCAGCAGGCCTGCAAGTGGGGTAATTTTTAGTCATGTGACTTGACACTGGCCAGTTGCCGTTTTCGGAGCCGAGATCGTCCAGATCGAAGAAATCTTGAAGTCAAATTCGAATGAAAATAATGTCTCTCTCTCTTCATGGTCTCGCTCAACTTGAAACGGCCAACTTCTTGTGGTATCCACTAACGCCACCTCTTTTCTATGATGACTGTGTCCCGGGCCATCTCATTAGAGTGTGTGCCCTGACATTTCCAGGAATCTGCCCCGGCGCTAACGGCGCCAGATTCACTCCTGGCGTGTTGGGATCGCCTCCAGCAATAGAGAGGAACCCCCCACGTTGGCGTCGTCCGGGCTTGATTGGCATGCAATCCTTCTGGTCTGGCCAGGATTAGAGTTCCTGGTCTTGTTGGTGGCGGTGGTAGTGGTAGTGGTCCATGACAACTTCCCGATCAAACGAGCGCCATTCAATGCTTGAGGACTTTTCTGCTGATACTTTCTCAGATCCCGGGAAGGGCGGGGATGTTGGTTGGAAGAGAGGGTTGCTCTCCTGACACGAGATCGTGAACATCTCCCCCCCTGCAACCAACAAATTCTATTTCTCCTTTGATAGATGATGATTCGGAGACATCTATCCCGACTAATTCTCTTCCGTGGTGAATGATTCCCCCGCCTCACAACCCCCTCCATGCGATCAGCGCATCGATATGGCCTCATCAGGTCATTCCAGGCCCGAGCGTGACGTCAAGCAGTGGGAACCCCCCCTCCTCTTAATTCTCTCCTTGGGATGCTCAAGCCTGGATGAGCCAAACTATCCCCCCCTCTGCTATCGCCCGGGATCTCGTCCCCCGTGAATGTGAGACACTCTCAAGGCTACGGACCCAGTTCCGACCATGAAATGCAGGCTGAGGAGAGATCTGATCAAGGGGAATAAGGCGTAGATCGTAATTCGCAAGTGGTTGCAGGGATCTGTTCGCCCTTTTCCGGTGTCTTTCTGCCGGCCGCAAAAAAACCTCCCCTCCAACGTCATGACTATGACCGAAGGATATGATAAAGGTCTTATCCACATCCAACAACCAGCGACAATGGCCCTTTCAGCAGCGATATCGCAACACTTGCCCTTGAACTACTTTCTGCACCATCTGCACCATCTGCACACTACCAGGCACCGTTCAACTTCATTCCTCATGCGGCAATAATTCACAGAGTCCAGGCATCAACAGTGGATAGCAAGAGGGGCTGCCATTACGTTTAACCCCTTGACTAGCCCAGCACCGTTGTCTGGTAGACTGTAGTGGTGTGGATATCGCACTCGTACACTATACTACTTGGGACCCTCAACTTTCGTAGGGACTGACTGACTGGCTTATCCGCTCCATCCACGGGTCAACCTTCCCTGTTTTGTTTTGCCTGGCATTACATTGGTCCTGGACTTTGCAGCGAACGACCGTCCGTCTTTTCTTGCTGTTGGAGCTGCGCTTCTGATTCGTGATACCTGCTTTTTTTTTCCCTCCCGCGTGGAGGAGGGCAACCCGTATTTCCATTCATTCCCCTCCGCTGCCTTCAGCCTGGTCGACATTCCGAATTCCCTCTCGAGTATAAGAAGCCCCTCTCCTCCATCATCGGCTGCTCTCCTACTCGCCGTTTTTCTTTTGCTAGTATCTTTTGCTCGCCCAATCCACGGGGGATTTGCAACGACTGCCTGACCGGGCATTTGTTCTTGCAGATTATTGCATCGGAACAGCAATACCACAAAAGCAACAGCTGCTACATCTTGTCTTGGACGGGGATTTCAGTGATTCCCAAACAGTCCCTACACCGGCGGTGAAATTCCCTGGTAGATAGTAGTGTGCACTGTTGATCTTTAAAATATCGACTCGGATCTGAATTGGAAACGGTTCATTTCTGCTTCTATTATTTTTTTTGGTGAACCAGCCAGTCAGCCTGCCCTGGTGGCTCATTCATCATCGCATCTAATTCAAGATGTCTCAAAAACCCATCTTCGTGGCTACCCATCCACGCGCCTGCTCTACGGCCTTTGAACGAGTACGCGTGATCCTCGCATTCCAGAGTGCTGAAAACATCAAGATTTTCTAAAAATAAAATTGAAGCACACATAGCAAGACGATTAGAACCTGCTGACACGTACAACAGGTCTTCATGACCCGTCGGGATACCATCCAGTGTATCCATGAGCCGTTTGGTGATGCCTTCTACTACGGGCCTGAACGCCTGTCGGCCAGATTCGCCGACGACGAACAGGCTCGTCTAGAGAGTGGTTTCAGCCAGTCGACGTTCCAGACCGTCCTGGCCAGAATCGAGCGCGAAGCTTCTGAGGTCCGACCCTTCTTCTTGGTCGCGTTTCTTTCTTTCTGCGTTCTACACCTTGTCATCCATCCCTCCCTGTCTGTCGTTATGCGCCCGGCCGAGGTGAAAATCCCGGCTGGATGGTCCTGCCCTGCATCGTAGAGGCCAGTTGCCAATCTTTTCCCCCTCTCCCCCTTAACCCTCCCCCCCTTGATGGGCTGGGGACCTGCGGCATCTGCATGCCTACGCAGGTCCCTCTTCTCTATTTATGCGCCTCTCGTACAAGCCCATGATCACACGAGGTAGTCACCTCACTGTCATCGTCAAGATGGCGTCGGATCTCACCAACCCCAGTCGAACCATCACACTACTCTCCTACTCTACTCTTACTCTACTCGGTTGCTGCGAGATACTTACCACCAGCAGGGCAAGCGTATCTTCATGAAGGACATCATGCACTACCTCCTCCCACCATACAGCAAACCCGCCAGCATTGCGCCATCGCTGAACAGAATCAAGCGGGGCGTGGGCACCGAGTCTAACGGAGAGACTGCTCCCCATTCGGCCGTTGGCGCCAACGGCACCAGCAACGGCGCCCACGCCAACGGCCACCACACCCAGCAGCTGAATGGCACAAGCCCAGTACAGAACGGGACCAAGAATGGGCTGAATGGCCACGCTGCGCTGGACCACTCCACGCCGGTGAAACCGGCAGCTACCCGGGAGCCGTACCCGTACGACACGGCAGCCGAGCCAGGCAATCCTACCGTGATGCCCACGGAAATCCTCTCCCAGTTCCATTTTGCCTTCCTCATCCGCGACCCCCACCACAGTGTCCCCTCCTACTTCCGCTGCACCATTCCGCCCCTCGACCAAGTGACAGGCTTCCACAACTATGATCCCTCCGAGGCCGGGTACGACGAGCTGCGTCGCACCTTCGACTACCTGCGTAGCGTGCGCCTGATTGGCCCCCACATTGCCACGCAGGAGCGTGACGCCGACGATATCGACAACCGCCTGCGACCGGTGACTAGCGGGCTCAACGGATACGAGGCCGGGGCGGAGATCTGTGTAGTCGACGCCGATGATATGTTGCAGAAGCCGGCGCCCATGATCGAGGCGTTCTGTCGTAGCGTGGGCCTCGAGTATACCCCCGACATGCTGTGCTGGGATACCGAGGAAGACCACCAGGTTGCTCGGGACAAGTTCGAGAAGTGGAGGGGCTTTCACAACGATGCGATCGAGTCGAAGGGCCTGGTTGCTAGAAAGCATGTAAGTTATTAGTAGACCTTGCACGGTTATATGTCCCTGTCCATGAAGTTAGTCACTAACACCACCCAACAGCCCCATGCCGTCAAGACGGAAGAAGAATGGGACGCCGAATGGCGCAAGAAATACGGCCCGGAGGCAGCAGACCTCATCCGTAAGACCGTCGACGCCAACATGGCTGATTACTTGTATATGAAGCAATTTGCCATGCGCGTGTAGGTCCAGGTCAGGACAGTCTGTCCTTACGGGCCCGGGACACCAGGAGGAAAGAAGAAGAGAAACCACCGGAAGAAGAACGGGGGACCGATGGCCTTAAGTAAGAAAGAAGCAGAAGAATGATTAAAAGAGGGGTTAATCCACTCTTTTAACTTCGGAATGGTATGCTGGGTGACGAATGTTCAGGCATGATGAATTCTTAGCTTTGATGACGCCATTTGATGTGATGATGATCTGTGCATGTTGATTCCTTTTCGATTGATTGATCGATTCGTTTGTGATTTTTTTTTTCATGAATGCAATGAGCGAAGCAAGCAAGTATGCAAAGCAAGGAAGGGTGGGAGATTGAATTAATTATGATGGAATATATGATTGATTCGTTATATTGATGTGCTTCTATGGGGAGTGTAGTGTAGATGTTGGTGTAGTTGGGTGTGGGCTATACCCGACTGCGCACATAGTAGCAGTAGCGGTCAGACTCGTGGGTTTCACTAACATACTTGCTGTGCACAACAGGACACATCATCGTTTCAGAATAACAATTACTTTGCAAAGGAATCATGTTCTGGCGACAAGTAATCATTTTCGGTCTTTGTCATTTGTGATCTACTAGTCAGTCCTATATAGATTATATCCTCGAGGGCGTAAATTGATAAAAGTTCCTGTTACGCCTTCACCCCATTACAGACGTTCATGACTTATTGCATACTATCTATTATTTATAGATAGACAGACAGTAGTCATTTGAAACGTTTATGCTAGATCATTCAGATCGACCCTGATTCAGCTGCCTATAATATACTGGAACTATATTAAGTGTTAGAGATACTTGTACTCCGACTTTAGCCGGCTGCCAGTTTTACACCCCTGCCTTGCCTTTAGAACCTATCATGTACATTTCTATCGCTGAAATCTATTTACGTTCCCAAAATATCAATCACACTCTCATAGTAATATTCCTTATACATACTATCTTATCGTATCATATTCCTAATCCTAATCCCACCCAATATAATGAAACCATCATCGTCATCATCAAATCCTCGTCCTCAATGCCAGCAACAACCTCATCTCCTCTCCATTCATCTCATCTCATCCAACCTTGTAACAAGCAGGCAACATAACAAACCACAAAGGAGCAAAAAGCAAGCAATCAATCAATCAAACTCTAGCCCCCCTAAACAGCACTATATCCCCCTCTAGATCCCGACCCTTGTAGCGTGTTGACCACCCGCCGTAACCAATCCTGGAAGAGATAGGGAATATCGCGGATCGTGTCGCCGTGCGGGAGGAGATCCCACCCGCGGGCGCCGTAGCGATTGTAGTTGAGCCAGGAGCCGAAGATGAGGTATGCTGCGATGCAGAGGAATAGACTTGACAGATGAATCTCGTTAGTCGGCCCCGGTTTCCAATAGGGATAATGTAAAGACGACGGAGGGAGCGGGGGGAGGGCAGCAAAACATACATGATAATCAACCAAGTAAAGAACCCCCAATGACTCGACCCATCACCTTCACTAGGATTCTTCTCGCCGGGCTCATCCTTGTAATCATCGCACGCGTACCGTGTCCTCCAATTCAACTTCAACACGTAGGTATCATCATCCGCGGGCCCGAAACTCTTAAACTGCAAACTGCGTCCGCCCTCGGGGATAGTGCCGTTGTCATTATTCTCATTGTCGCCGTTAGTCTCGTCTGCGCGTTGACTCAGCTGCCACCGCCGACGGCGCTCCTCCTCCGTGTCTTCGGTCGTCTGCAACCCCTCTAGTCCCGACCGGTCGGGATCGCACTGGAACTCGATCACGGCGCCGGCGTTCTTCTTCTTTTGTTGTTCTTCGTCGAAGTATTCGCCTCCGGCGAGTTTGACGAGGAGACCCTCCTGTTCAGAATCGAGCTTCTTCAGGCGGGTGATTTCGGCATCTTTGGTACCGTGACCGAGGTGGTCGAGGCCGACGATCGGGAAGACGGTGCTTTCTTCCTTGTGGCTGTCTAGGGCGGTTTTGTATTGAAAGCCGCAGACTGTTTTTGGTAAGGGTTTTGTCAGTTATGGGAGCTAGTAACGGGGGGTGGTGGATGGGATAGACGTACTATTCTTGGATGTCGGGCATTTCAGGTGGCCGCGGTGGGCAGCGCCCTTGAGGATGTTGCAGATGTTGAGCACGTAGGTTGTGTTGACGACGTAGTCTTCTGTTTCGTCGACGTGGTAGAGCGTGTGTACGCCGCCAAGAGTGCTGAGGTCATACTTGTAGCTGTCAACGATGATGTTGTGACAGTCGAAGCCGCCGGACGCGGAGGCTAGGCTGGGGAGGAGGGCGGAGGAGAAGAGGAGGGTCGAGAGGCCGGTTGGTATTCGCATGGTGACAGCTGGATTGTGTGTTGCTGATGGGGAGGGACTGGATTGGTTGGAAGGAAGTGATGAAGCTGATAAACAGATAGGTGATGACCGGAGCTCAGCTCGAACAGTTGGTGGGTATGAGTGATAGAGAATAATGAAGCAGGAAGTTATCGCTAGTTCGAGTCCCGCGGCGTGCAGTAGTAGTCTATAGTGGTGTGCAAAGGAGCTGGGTGCTCCAAGGGAGATAGATGAAGATGAAGATGGAGACGCAACGGTATGGATGGAGCTGTTCCCGACGCGGAGGTCGGCGATGCGGTGGCCGGGAGTCTTGGTTTCTCCGAGGCGAAGCGGATCACCGCTGAACCACCACGATGACATCCAACGTCTGCACCTGACTACTAAGGCACAGGAAAGTTGGGACCGTCAAGATTGAATGCGGAGATGACGGCAAACAATGGATATGGCTCGGCGATTGGAGTCATCTCTCGTGGCAGCGGCTGAACGTGATCGGCAATGCGGAGGGCACCTGACGGGGATGATGTCACACGACCAGATGGTGTTGGCGATATTCGATGTTTATGGAAGTATCTCGATTCTTGCTGCAAAGGGGATGCATAGCAGTAAGAGTAGTTGTACGGATATGGAATCCGAGGTTGAGCTCAAATCGATAGAGCAGCTATCATATAGTGACAATGTGAAGCAACTCAGATGAAGTCTCTCGCCAGCGTCATACACACATAGCATAGTAAACAGTCACCTCATACAACATAAGAACTATAGCAGATTACAAACATAAGAACATTCTATGTATTCCCTTCAATGGAAACCTCTGCACGCAGACCCCCTTCACCAATGCTTCACTGTACAGAGCAACTAGTGCAGACTGCCACCTCAATTCCCATCCTCAGGCACCAACCACCGCACAGACCAACTCAAAAAGCCAACCAAACCTCACGGTCTTGATACCTCAGGCATGAAACCCAGCTCCCCTCACAATCATCATATTAATTAATCAAATATCATCCCATCCCCAATCGCCTAACAAGCATCCCACCACAACCCCGCCAAGATGATGCAAACTCGCATGGTACGTATACCCACTAAATTTACTACCCATCCTATAGAAAATTGTTTTGCTAATAATGTAATCAGCTCACTAAAGAAGACGAAGCCCTCACGGGCAGCGAGGACAACGAAGTCCGCCGCGAGGACCAAGAAAAGATCAATCGCTTCAGTCGGCTGCACCAGCGCGAGACGCTGCTCGAGGAGCAGTTGAAGCTGAAGATGGTATGTTTGCTTCCTTTGTTCCTAATTGTCTTACATCCATCAAGTGATAATTAGAGGGGATATGAATAAATCTACCCCCCTATACATGAAATGAATGCATGCAGGAACTAACAACCCCCCAGAAAGACAAAGAAGATCTAGAAGAAATCTCCACGGAACTGGAGCTGGCAGATGAGGATGAGCTGGTACCGTAAGTTTTCCTTTTCTCCTCTTCCGTTTATCTATTTATCTAGCTCTGCCAACCAAGCCGATATATGACTTGGAGAGGGGTTAGGGGATGTTGCTAACTGCATTGCAGGTACAAAATCGGAGATGCGTTCTTCCAGCTCCCCCTTGAAGAGGCTCAGTCCCTGCTGTCGACGGCAACAGAGCAGGTCGATGCCGATGTGGGCAAGCTCGAGGAGGGACTGAGTGACCTGCGGGAGGAGTTGCAGCAGTTGAAGGTGGCTTTGTATGCGCGGTTCGGACGGAGCATTAACCTTGAGACTTAATCATAGTGTCTATCTACTACTGCCGTTCGTGTAATGTGACAGAAAGTGATGATGATGATTGCATTAGCATTAGAATTAGCATGCATCCCCAATTGTAAACGCTAGTCCAATATGCACTATGCTATTAAAGATAACATGTAATGGCTGAAAAGGACAAGAAGAGTGGTGTAAGTCTAGGTTCGGCTATACACGCGTGTACTGTATACAAAAAAGTCCCAACATTATATCTACGTTGGTAAAACATCGCAGCTGATTCGTAATCCATGATCTCATCTCACATGCCTGTGGGGTTTTCCCACAATTGCCGGAACAGTAATACAAGTTTTGAGTAGGACAAGGGTCTTGTCCAGTTTGAGAGAGACGAGCCCTTCGCGTGCTCGCTCTCATGGCGCGTCCGGGGCGGGCGTCGCCTTCGTAGCAAATCCAGACGTCAAGCTTCGAGCGTAGTGAGGATGAAGCGTTGAGTCTCATAATGCTCATGAGCCACATGGTATAATGGCATCATCGCGAGCGGTCTCATATAATGCTCGCGATAGTCATCCGCGAATGAGACGAGCTCGACTGGGGAGTCGTCGCATCAGAGCTCGCGGTGGCGGATTCGGGCCCGAGATATGTCGACTCCGCGGGTTTGGTACGATGCTGAAGATCTTGTTGCTGCTGCTGCTGCTGCTGTCGCTCGTGGAGGTACTGCACCGTCTGCTCCACCCATTTCCACCCTTCCCATCCTTCTGGCCCTGCGCTGGCCTCCGGATGGGAATAAGCCACTGGGCTACTGACTTTGGGCGACATCACCTCCAGCTGCGAGCCGGTCTCACTGCCCTGCCAGACCCAATTACTTTCCGCACTTCCTTGCATGTCGCCGGATACATATACCATCAACTCTTCGTCGCGGTCGAGCACTGCTAGTTCGTTGCGCCGTAACCGGTCCAACATCACTTTGAGGAAGAATGCAAGATAGCGTCCACAGGCCAGATTCACCGCGCGCGAATCACCAATGGCAGTACTCGCCTGGACACAGACGAGAGCAGGAGCGTAATCCTGGCGGAAAAGGAGTAAAAGTGCACAGCGCCAAAGGTGCACACACAGCATGGTTCCTGCGGAGGACGCCAGCAGTGGTCTCCAGTCATCGCCGCTCGTAGCGGTAAACCCACTTCCCGGGCTGGACGGGGCCCGCATGCAACGAGACAGTAAGCGAGCGGTATCCTGGGCGGTGGAAATACAGTAGTCCAACGATGACGCTCGAGCCTCGGGAGAACAGAAAGGAGAGATATTATGACGGTGGAGGATCAGGCGGGCATTTTGGAGGTAGAGAATTGGTGCGAGGGTGCGGGGGTCGAGATACTGGTCGGCTGTAGGGTGATACTGAGGGGGAAAGGTCGCGAGGCAGGTGTTAAAGTGTCGTTCGAAAGTTTCAAGGGTTCCGAGACTCATTGTCGGACTTTTCAACGTTCGAGATAGCTGGCCGATGGATCGAACCACATGTATGGTGGCCAGTAATGGAGACGTTTGGGAGCTTTCCGGCACCACTGCCCCGTCCGAAAGATACTGCTCATCGATGGGACACGGGAGGCCCACATCGCAGTCTTGATCGTTGATGAGAACTGGTTTTCCCATCTCCAAGGCGAGAAGCCTGCCATTACTGTCAGCCGGTATTCAACAACTAAATCATCTCTGGCAGCTCATACCTATCCCAGGTGTACATGCCCCACCATAACCGCTTCCGCATCTCGCCTTCCAGAGGGGGCCAAGGCCCTGACTCCAAATGCAGGCCAATCTCCTGCGCGACTCGAATTGCGGACCCAATCCAGACCCAGCTCGCCGACTGCGAATTAACCTCGTACAAGAAAATGCTGACCAGCAGCGCCGCCCGTGCCTGATCCAGGGTGAAGTTGTCCTGCCATACATCAATCACCCCGCAACTAACAGTCACGAATTCTTTGCCTTCCTCTTCCCGATTCGCTTCCAAGGTGTGCAGACGCCCACATGCAAAGACTCCGAATAGAACCGCGGCCCATTCGCGGGGCACGCCGAGGAGGGTTCCTGCTTGGTAGACCTCCTCGAACTGGGCGACAAAGGTCGGCCAATGGATCACAGGCAGGACGGAGTGAATGCAAGCGTAGTACTGTCCCAGCAAGCGATTGGCCAGCTCCTTCGGGGGAAGGCGTGGAGGATCAGCAGTGATCAAGGACTTGGGGCCGGGCTGACGGTATGGAGGTGGCACCCTCAGGATCCCTTTGCCGTATTTCCGCAGATTCGCACGAGCCTCGGTCAGATCCTGCATCACAGGCGCTTGTGGCCGGCGCGGGGGACGATACCCGGCGTCCGGAAGCTTCAGCTGAGGCTGCCCCGCACCATCAATATCCAGATCCATCAGATTGTCCGATCGTAACATGCCCGTACCGAAGTTGCTGTAGTCTGTTGCTTGGTCGACAGCAGCTGTTTTTCGAGGTCTTGGACTTGCCTGCGGTCAGATTAGAATGGCAAGATTCCCACAAATACAACAGCCACGGCACGAACTTGATGGAAGACATGCGTCGATTCGTCTCCTTGGTAAACTGGCAGCGCACCTTACGGTTGGTGCATTCTGTGCAACTGGACGACTCGGAAGCGTCACACTAAACGGAATGAGTTATGCTGGGTTCACGGGGCGACCACCAGGGTAACCTCCACTGCGACGTAACGTACCTTGACTTTGCGTTCCCGACAGGCATCGCAACTGGGGTCCTTTCTCCGCTGTCGATAGGCCCTCTTTTGCTGCAAAGGCTGCTGTGACTGATGATGAGGGTGCGATCCAGCCGCAGCACCTCCGCCCATCGGCTGAAGCAGTCCGGGACCATTGAGGGGAGGCGCATCGGCGAGCATCGATGCGCCTTCAGCGGGAGAGCCACTCGACTCGTACGAACGAGCGTAGGTGGGAGCGTTCGTAACGGGGGGTGGCGGAGGATTGGGCATATGTTGTGCCAACGGCTGCAGTAGATGGGCCATCCTCAACCCGCTGTCGGGTCGACTCGGCGGAGCGGAGAGTAGAGGAGCAGGTGCGGGCCCATGCGGTTGAAATGGAGCTGGAGGCGAGGTCACCGCGTGCACCGGAGGAAGTTCATATGACCCTCCTGGTTGGTTCGGGCTACTCGAAGAATGATAGTAGTGCGCCTGCATGTCGACACCCGCAATGCAACCTCATAAGGGGGGACACTTGGGGAGGAGGAAGAGGGGTGTGTGCAAACCGGAACGATTGCGGACCAGACGAAGCTGCCCGCTCGTCCGATGGAAGAAGCACAGAAGGCGGGGGGGTGTGGGAAGTCTGGATGATGCAAAGCGAACAAAAAGATCAGGAAGTACAAGCCGATGGGGAAAGCGTCCTTCCTATAGTGTGCAACTCAAAATGCGACACTAGTGCAGAATGATGATAGCTGCAACAGCAAACACCGATGGGAGGGGAAAAGAGGGAGGAATAATTATTGGACCCCGAATCGACGGCAGAAATCCCGAGCGCCAACCCAGAAAAAGAGGCCCGAGAAGTGTGGATTGAATCGGGAAGCTGGCCGCAGTGGCAAAAGATGGCAAATGGGGGGAGGAAGTCAATCAATGAACTGTCTCGATCGCGCCAAAATTACACCCGAGCCAGTGAGCCACAGGGTTCAATATGCTCCAGACCACAAAGTTAAGTTGGGACGATGGGGCTACCGTGGGGTCATCTAGAAGCGGTAGCTCTGTTGTCGTTGGAGCGGACAGATGGAGCTGAGTCGTCCTGTGGGTGCTGATGAAGCCATACAACAGCCAGATGGATGGAGATAAAATTGAAAGCTCTCCAAAATACCGAGGTCGAGGAGCTGCAAGGAACGTGGGCACGAAGCCAAGCACCAGACAAGAGGTCAGGGCACGGCGTTAGGCGAATGTATAATAGTACTAAAGTGGGAGCTGGATTGGAGAGATGGGAGATTTGGCAGGCGAGGTAGAAATCCAAATTCGATAGATATGTGGACAGGTTGTTTTTGGCAAAAGGCAAAAGGCAAAAGGCAAAAGGAGAGAAGAGGATACTAATAAGGAGGAATAGTAAGTAGTAGTAGTAAGTGGTTGTTGTTGTTGTTGTAGTTGTAGTAGTAGTAAGAGAGAGAGGAGAAGGGAATGACAGCCCGGGGAGCCAGAAGGTTGAATATAGTGTCAGTCAGTCAGCCAGAGAGAGAGAGAGAGGAAAAGAATGAGAGTGACGGCCAACGACAGTTATGGAAGGGATGATAAGCCAGTCGTCAGTCAGTCAGTCAGTCAGTCAATCATACTTTGGATGAACTAACTACTAACAAGAACGAGCAGACGTCGTCAGTCATTCATCCTTCTTCATCGCCGCCTCGGAGCCTCTGGGTTTTCCCCTAAATTTCGTTTATTTTATTTTATTTATTCTTTATTAGGATATTATTTTTTTTTTAAAATGATTACTACGGGTTTGTTTTATTTCGATCCGATTGTTTTCAGTTTAGTTCAGCTTCCCGTTTCCGAGCATGACTTTCCCTCTTCTACTTAATTACTACTAATAACTACTAACTTGTGTCTGGTCTCTGAAACAGAGATCCTTACAACACTAGTACTGCAGCAATTTGACTGCCTTCTCATGAAACTTACTTTATGAGTATATGATTGCTACAAACATTCTCACCGTCCAAGACAATTTCCGTCCATTCCGTCGGTGGCAGAACCGGCAGAAGAGAGGGGGGCGCGGAACACTACAATACCAGGGGGGGAGAACAAGCTCGACTCAAGCGCCGCTGCCCACTTTTTGCATGCGACCAGGCCTCGGATGGCGTGCCAGAGCTCCTGCGCCAGGGTCCTATCCATGCCCAGCAATCGGCTCCGAAAGTCTCTCGGCTGACCCCGGTTACAGAGTTTAGTGCGAAGCAGCGCGGCGGTTGACAAAAATATTCAATAAATCAAAAAACGCCATGGCTGAAACGAGACCAGGTGCCTACGCAAATCGGATCGAAGGGGGGTGCGGAGATTAGCAAATGAGCTTACTGCAGAAGTCTATCCTTAGGAATCTGTTGCCGACAGCCTTCTTAATTTTTTCTGGCCCCGGTTCCCGTTGATTGACTGGCGGGTTACTTTTCCTGCGTGGGTTTTTATTTTTGTTCTGAATATTTAATTTTATTTTTTGTATTATTCCATTCTTCTACTTTCTTCCCTTTTTGACTTGATTTATATTTATTTTTACTATATTTGTTGGTCATTTTTGTTATTCTTTTATTTTCATTGACCTTTTTCTTTTTTTTTTCTTCATGTCTTCAAACATCCCCTCATTACTCATTCCATGCTGATAATTGCTTTTTTTCCCTTATGGCCAGATCATCGACCTGATCCCACTTTGGGTCAATTTAGAGGGGCAACACGAGCGGGATGACGATGACGATGCTGGGACCAGTTCCGACGGTCCATCTGCTAAAATCATTGTCTCTCGATGCGAATGTTTCTGTTATATTAAAAACCACTGGCCCTACGGAATAGCCCGGTCTGTGGGTTCTTTGTTTGATCGTTGCGACTTCTAAATTGCTTCCTGCGCCTCAGGCTATTACTATTATTATGTATTATCGAGTTAGCACCTACTACTAGATACTACTTAGCACTAACCAACAGCGCTACAACGGCCCGTCATCGTGTATGTCTCTACTGCACCACAGCCTTCTCCGGTAACAAGCTCCCGTTGTTGGGCTCGCCGTTTTCTTTCCCTTCCCTATCATCCATCGCTTGGGGGCCTCTTTCCTTTTCCTTTTTCTTTTCTTTTCTTTGCGCTTACCCGCTCACAGGTTGTTGACTGTTGAACTGGTCGTTCTTAGTAGAGGATCAGACCTCTGGCTAGTTGGGAGTATCCCGAGATCGACAGTGGCAGTGTCTTTCTGGATACCGGCTATGAGTCCCTAAGACCACAACGTGTCCGTTATTTTTTCTTTTCCTTTTCTTTTTCCCTGTCTCCTCGTCTTGATTAGGCTTTATTTCTACTTTTTCTTTTATTTTTATTTTTGTTATTATTTTATTTCATTTTTTTCCTTCTACGACTTGCCCAGGAAATTAACGAAAAATTCTTGGTGAATCCATGGGCCACGAGGTCCCACTCAGGAAAAGGGCGGAACGGCTGAGCTTCCCAGAGGCTGGGACGGAAGAACGGTTGAGAGTAATTAAGAAGGGGATTTTAACTATGGTTCTGACTTCTGACATTCGTCGGTACGGAGAGCAACTCCGTGCTTAAATTCTGACCTGCAGCTGAGGTTCCTTAGCCCTTGACTAGTCTTTTTCTAGTTTGTAATCCTTGAGGCGGAATTGACATGGATCAGGTTGTTCTGGGCAGGACTGGCATCTGGTCTTGGCCGGGCTTGGTTGGCAGTCCTCGTCTTCCAGTTCAGCCTGGAACCGCCGTGGTTCGCTGATGATCATCACGGCAACTCCTGGCAGTCCAACTGTTAGCTAGTCTGTCTACAGTAAGCCTGTCCTTTCCTTTCCCCCCTCCCCATTCTCCATCCATGGATGGGGCCCTGAGAGTCGTCAAAGCCGAGTGGCTTTCCACTTTCCTCTCCCACCACACCCCCCTCTTCGCATCTACCCATCAGGTTGCTACTTTGGGTTGGTTGGCGTGTCCCAGTAGGACGCAGTAATGACGGAGACATGGGAAACTCAAAGCCGCCGTTACCACCTGGTTGATGGGGCCTTGACCGGCATGATTGGATGTTGAAGCGGATCGTTTTTACTATTCTTAATTCTCTTCACCGATGCTGATGGAGTCCGTGGGTTGCTGAAATCCCCTCCCCCCCTGAGTGTGATGGAGACGAATGTGAATTTGGGGATGTGTTTCCTGAAACGTCGTCGGAGGCGCATTTGCCCTCGGGCCGTACAGTTCGATAGTCTCAAGCAGAGTGGTTGGCTGTCGGACAGTAACCTGCGCGCGCCACGATTGCCGGACCCCTAGTAGTACTTAGTACTACTAGTCAGTCAGCCCCTCTGATTGACTTGGTCGAGCAGGGTGCAACATAACTTTACAAAGCATACGTACATGTCTCCGAGAGCAGAAGAATGTGCAAGGGGAGAACAAGACATTCATTCATTCATCAGCAGCAGCACCAGCATTGTTATTATTGGTTACTACTGTCTAATACTACTTTGTACCATCCGTACCAGGCGAGCAGTTCAGCATCGTTCTGACGATCTACTCGGAATCCCGCCTCCGGACAGAGCCTATTGGCCGAGCCACATGGACGCACGAGGCAGCAACCGTGGTCAAGTTCCACCGCAAATCCTGCATGTTACGCGATGGGGAATAATAATGATAATGCCTCTTTCTGTCTTTGGTTCTGTCTCTGTCAATTGAGCCGGTGAGCTGCCTTTTGCTGCTTGTTGCTGCTGTTGCTGCTGCTGGCTGACGATGACTTTGGGTCACTGTGGCTTTGGGTCACTGTGGCGGAGTTGGAGTCTGACGAGTGACGCCAGCTTCGGACGAAACACGGAGAAAACCGCCCGGTGGTTGGCCAGAGCGAAAAATCCCCGGCCCATCTTTTTTATTATTTTTTTTATTATTCCTATATTTTCCTAAATTCGATCTATTTTCTCCTACGGATCAAGAGAGCGAGAGAGATCGGTTCGCCTAGAACTTGGTTATGATTGCCATTCTTCGGCCTTTGCCATATTCTTGCTCCTGCTGAATGTAGTTTAGTATTCGGGCTCTGCTGGGAGGTTTTTAGAATTTTTTTTTCCCCTTCTAATACCCCTCTTTCCCTTTTCCTCACTGCTGGCCGGTTAATCTTATCCTTTTTAGCTCTTCAGAATTTTCGCTTGGCGCCTTTTGCTACGCAATTCATTTGTCTTCGAGAGGCTGTTTTGAGGCTTGTGTGGTCACCGTATCACTTGCCATCCACCTCCGTCAGCCTGGCCCGTGGACTAACTTTAGCCGTCAGATTCCTGAACCAATGAGGTGGCGTATGTTCCTTCTCCCCAGCAGTCACCATTCAACCGTCGACTCGGGCGAGAGACTATCATCAAGTAGTCAAACTTGGCATCCCTCTCCCAGTATCTAGTGCTGTGTCTGTGTGTTTTTGTGTGCGCGCGGCATCCATCAAGGCTCGGGCTCCTGACGGTCATGTCGATCCAACAATTAAACGGAAGGAAAAATAGTGGAAACAGGGTCCAATTGCTTGTTGCACTGACAATCAGCAGACGCTCCCTCGGAAATGTCTCAATCCAGCAACTGATCGTACTGTAGTTGTTGTGTTCCGAGTGGCTAGCTGACGAGGATAATGTTTGGTTAGGCACCATTCTACTAAATTTCCCTTTCGGCTCGCGGATTCCGGAGAACACATTAACTGACGCATCTACCTGGTACCTACATATTCAAGGAAGCACGAGGACTAGCTCCGAGTCACGATGACCGTCGACCGAGCGCCGACTATGGCCGCCGTGTGCCTGCGCAGGACCAGAGGACTTGGGCGGGGTGGGCACGAGCTCTAGCCGCATCATGGATCCAGCTGCATGCTGCTGTTTCTATCCACTGGACACACACACACACACACACACACACACACACACACACACACACACGCACACACAGATGTTGCCCTGTCTGCTACGGAAATGATATCCCCAGCCAATCTAGTGGGCGAGGTCGCACAGACGGACAACATCCGCATTCCTCGCCGGAGCAGGTTACGCATTCCCCCCTGTCTTGTGCCGTGGGCTAGAAGCCTGCTTTCTCTTTTCGGCCCCTCATGCTTCATTCTCAAGATTTATCATGATTAGTTGATTGTGATGATTATTCTATTATTTTCGCTCTGCTTCTGGGCCTATCGACTCGAACATTACATCGCTCAGGCCTATCCCTGTGTGTAGGGCCAGGCGAGGTGCACAGCCCGGTAATGCTACTAATGGGATTAGCAAAGCACAGTAAGATGTTGTGAGTTGCCATTATCGCGGTAGGATTCGTTCTTGACGCCTGCGGGTTGGTTGCATGACGGCCCGTTGGCTGGAAGCTCGGCTCAGGAACCTGGACAGCTCTAGCTGGGCATCTAGGCTCGTGTCGAGATGATGCTGATGGGCTTGGGTCCCCGCATCAGCATCAGCCAGTTGTGCTCAGATGCCTGATGGTGAGCCTAGGCTCCGGTGTTGATATCATTGGACACGACAGTATTTTTTTTTTTTTTCATTCCTTTTGATTCTCTTCCTTTTACGGAGGGGATGTCTAATATCCACCGAAATTACTATCATGGTCTCAACCGCCGGTGATGAACAAGGAAATTAAGAGGCCGTGACTAAGGATGACTAGCGACTGCAAGTCTGGTAAGGCCGGAGAGGTGGTGGCATGTAACGTAGCCGGGCCGGATATTCTAACCGAGATCTCTAACGATGCGACGATACGGTTAGACCTTTAGAGCCCGTCCTGGAGATGACCGGAAATTAAATCAGCACCAGCATCATCATCCACCATGATAAGACAAGCCACCTGAGGGGTAAGTAGATACTCAAGACCAATAAGCTATACACAAGGAATTAATACATCTTTCCCCTATGACCTATAACAAGATGATTAAAAAATGAGGTGGAGAGTGATGGCCAGTGATGGCCAAGATGGTCATGATCTCTTCCCAATCCGTCTCCGAGACCCCGAGGGGACTGTCATGTCAGCCAGTCGCACTTTCCGGTGAGCTAAAGTTAGCAGCCAGTCAAAAGGCATAGAAAAGGGCGCAGATTCCGACAGCCGGACGGGAAAGGATCCCTTTGGAGTATGGCTACTTGGCTAGATACGATACTCATGCTAATGTGCTAATGTGGTCCGGTTTGGAGACAAACACCGGGTAACTGACCGGATGAGTATTATTGGGTGAATGGCAATTTCTCTGCTACCAGCGCACAATCAATCAGTCAATCAATTCCCAGGGTCCGGTGCCCCCCCCCCTCTCCCCTCCCCTCCCTCCCCATGTGGACGGTCCTTCCCGTGACAGTCTGCCGCTGCACCCCATCCTGTAACCATCTCTGGGTGAGATAGTCGTAGATAGATAGATGGATAGATGGTGGTATCATCTATTCCCGATTCCCCTCCTGCGCACGCGCTGATTTTTTTTTTTTTTTAGTTAGTTAGTCTAGTTTCCCTGTTGCATCCCACGGCAAGAGGCTTGGCTGGCTAGCTGCCTGGCCAGACCGACCCTGCGTCGCTTCTAATTATCCCGTATTTTTTTTTCCCCCAAATGCTAATGCTGAAGGGGCGGTGTCATGAGGGGTTTACCTACTAAGTAACTAACCACCCACTAAGTGACTAACGTATACTAATCTCCCTCAATGCCTCCCTCCTCCCTTCCAGCGGCTATCTAACTTCCCGGATGTCAGCCCAGGAATACTATCCGTCCATACAAGCCCATCCGTCGCAACCCCCAATTCGGTGAGTTCCGGTCACCGGGACTAACCTTCTAGTTACCTAGTACTACCCACACACATCAACAAGGGTCTCTCTCTCTCTCTCACACACACACACACCCTCCTGTTTCATCCTTTCTCCCCTTCTCCTTCCGCACCCGTCTCTACATATCTTCTTGTTCGGCCCTCGGCACCACTTCGGTCGGCCCAAGGCCCAATGATGAATGAATGAATGAATGAGCGTGAGTGAGCTAAGGAGCACGACCGGTCCACGTGGGCCATGCATTGACCCTCTGTGCTTGGACCAGTGGTATTGTCTGATTTATGACCCCCCCATAGTAGGAGTCGTAATCTCATCTGTCTGGGTTTGGAGATGTGAGGTCATCTCAAGTTGATCTCGATTGATCAGTAGTCAATAAGGAAACTGTAGACGAGGGGTATTTATCGTATACTCAAAGGATATCTGACATGGGAAGTAAGCTCGAGTGAACCCGTTGAAAATTAAAACTTCGTATATAGTAGGTAATAGTTATGCTATACCAACACATCGCGATATTCTTCTAGTACCTACTGTAAGAATCTTGCGAAATCACTACACAGTAGATACTAGTAGTCCTTATATAGACAGATTGGATCTCACCGGGTCAATGCTTACGACGAATCGAGCAACAATTCCCCCAAAGACAGAAGACGAAAGCAATTTAGCACTTGAGTTGGTCAATGTTATTTTCACGATATTGGTTCGAGACAGTAGTATATGCCTGTGTAATCCATCAGCACTAAGTAGACATAGACATGTGGTCGGCAATCTCTATCTAGGCTATCTAAGCGATGCTCGTACATTTCATNCTAGGGACATGCGCTAACTGAGAGGCAACTCTCTCTCTCGGATAGTCTTTCTCCGGGGGCCAGTGCTTAGCACGATACTCTATCGTCCAGCATCATGATGATGAATTCGACCAATCAATGCAGCAACAATCAACAAGGGAGAATAAATCCATGTAAGAGTATCCTATCCGTTCCGAGTGAGAGCATTTCCACTACAATAATGGAACATGGTATATACCAAATGATATGTTACAGTCAATCTATAAGTATGTATGTAGGATGTATGTACGAATGGCAGCGCCGTGTTTACTTACACTAATGAATCCATTCATGCGCCCCCAGCTTATTGATTTAAACCTATTCTTCGTACAATGGCACGGAATTAAGCAAAGCAATATGATAATCGTACGCACCTCGGATACACACAGCATCCTCCGGAGGAAGTCAAATTCCAAAAAGGACTCTCTACATTAGTATATAGTACGGAGTACTATATCCCATATTCTTCGTTAGATAGTGAATAGTGAATACTAAGTGGATAGTGGGATAGTGTCGTGCTTCGCCTCGGCTATGACGATAACTAAGGAAAACTAGCTAGTCAGTCAGTTAGCGAGGATGGACTGGATTTGACTGGTCTACGGAGTAAGTCTTTTTTCACTTGATGGCTAAGTTAGTTAGTTGGTTAGTTATTTAGTTCCTATCTAGCTAGATGATTAATATTGACGAGTGATAACTAACTAACTAACGTTAATCTCTCATGCTGACAAGCTAAGGATATCTAGTATTCAAATGGACAATCTCCACGATGGGTACCGGATAGTCCCCGAAGTGTGATCGGAGGTGATTCCGATAGCTGGTCCGGAGCATTGCCGTTAGACTACTAGACCATTTGGATTCGGACTTGAGGGAATAATGAGGGGCGGAGGGGGATGGTCTGCTGACTTGTTATTGATTGTTGTTTTTTCTTCTCGTATTGATTAATTTGTCTTTTGGGTACTAGTTAATTGCTAGTTATATCGGAGGGTATGTGCTCTACATCGGAATGTCCGATGGTCACATGAGTACTAGTGATACTATACAGAGTAGAGATGAGATATAATCATCATCCATTAATTAGTACGAAGTGACATGGTAGTAATTCGATTGCCATATCATGACTATAGTTAGTTACTCCTAATTTGTTATTCAGCACTCAGAGCCAGAACAAGAAAATAAGCAGACAGAATTTGCAGAGAAACACCCAACTCCCCCCAATGCCATGATCCATCCATCCATTCATTCCCCAACATCTACCATCACCAACAGAACACACTTATAATCAACAGCTAACAGAAAATAGAACATAGAAAATGAAAATTAAACCTTAACCCCCTCCCACCCCTTCACAATAACCTCCACAATCCTCTTCACCCCCTCAATCTCCTCCTCAGCCATCACCCCCATCGTCGTGGGCTCAATACTCCCGCCCACATAAACAGGCGTCTTCAACCTCCTCGCAAGAATCTTCGCAATCCGGGCCGTGTATTCTACACTTCCGGGGACGGAGTAGATTGTTGTTGATATCACATTTTTAGGATCCATTCTCTGTGTGTTTTTCTTATATCAGATGATATCCCATATACGCATACTATGATTATACATGATGGACCTTATAATATGCATGTGGTATATGTAAGAGGGTAAGTTGAAACAGCAAAGGCATGGATGGAATAGTAATATCAAATAGCCGATGGATTGAAGAACAAGAAATAGGGATGATATATTGGTATGTTAAATGAAAAGAAGAAGGGGGATACGTACATCCGGCATCGCATACACAAAACTCCCCATCGGCTTGATACTGCCCGCTGCATCGCCCGGCGTCGATGAGGTCAGAAACACCGTCGCGCAGGTTTGATGTCGTGTGAGGTGGATGTGGGCGGTCGTGTGGGGAGTGTAGGGGAGGGGGAGGGAGAGTTCTTTGATTTCGGTGGTCATTGTTTTTTACTCTCTTCTCCTGTCTTGCTTTCTCTATTCTTCGAGGTAAGGTCGTCTGTTATGTGGTGTAGTTTATAGTGTGCTTGTTTGTGGTTTGAGCTTGATAGCCGGTTCGAGGTTTGTTGGTGGTTTGGTTTGCATCTTGCATCACCGCTTTGAAGGTCCGGATCTTCCCCCCGCCAAAAGTCACGGAGTTTCTTGTGCGGGTCCCCCGCCTACAACTTTTCTACTCTTGGTTACCACCATTCTTTCTGTAACTACAGTAGGTTTTTGAACGTAGGTAAGTACATTCTGTTGTTGCTGCTGTCTGGGTAGCGTAATGTTTTTGTGTCATGGAATTTTGGACTACTGTGCATGCTAATTGCTACAAAGTACTGCAATGGACGAGCACGAGCCAGATGAAATCCGCAGCTGGTCTGGCGATTTCGACCCCCTGGCCGATAATGCCGAGCGTCGTGTGCTCTTTGCTGCTTTTGATTCTTTCAGGTGAGTCATTTTGTTACGTGCTGCAGGGTCGCGTTGCTTAAACACAACCCGTGGTAATCCGCTGGCATGTCATCTTCGTTGCTAAACACGCTCAGGCAATATCGGAGAACGGCGCACATGAACACCACTCACCGTCGTCGTCAGGCCTTTTATGCCCTGCCCTCTGCACACTGGCAGATGCTGGCCGAGCCGCCCTTCTCCATCCTCGACAACTTCAACCGCGTGGACGACGCCATCGATGTGAATGCCGACATCGCAGATGCCATTCTGACCACCGGTCTCTCGTCGTTCGGGCTCTCTGCGAACCCTGATCCTAGTGACCCGCGTCAGAACTGGCACGGGACGGCCACCCAGTCCGATGTCAACAAGGCGCACTCCACCCTGAGACAGTTCTATCGCGACTGGAGCCATGAAGGCCAAGCAGAGCGAGATGTCTGCTACGGCCCTGTGCTGTCCGACTTGCAAGATGAGTTCGGCGCGCGCATTGGCTCCTCCGAAGATGAGGACGAAGTCAGGGTGTTGGTCCCTGGCGCCGGTCTGGGGAGACTGGTGTTTGAGATCTGTCGGCAAGGGTTCGCCGCGGAAGGGAACGAGATCTCCTATCATCAGTTGCTGGCGAGTAGCTGGATCCTGAACCACACGCTCGGCCCTCAGAAACACGCGCTGCATCCCTTTGCGCTGCATTTCTCGAACCTCCTGTCCCGGGAGCAACAGCTGCAAGAGGTCAAGATCCCGGATCAGCATCCGGGTACGGCCATGGTGGAAGCCCAGGCGAACTCGGCGCCATTTGGGCGGATGAGCATGTCGGCTGCCGACTTTACCGTGCTATACACCAACCCCAGCAATAAGGAGGTGTTTGATGCCGTGGCGACGGTGTTTTTCATCGACACGGCGCCGAACCTCATCCGATACATCGAGGCGATCCGACACTGCCTCAAGCCCAACGGCGTCTGGATCAACGTGGGACCGTTATTGTGGCATTTCGAGGACGGGAGCAACCGCAGTCAGCACGGAGGCAGTGACGAGGGTCACGGTGACCAGGGGATTGGGGAGCCCGGGAATGTGGAGCTGACGGAGGCAGAAGTGTTTTGCCTCGTGGAGCG